GTTATCGCACCTTTCATGTTCTATTTGCATTTCCCTGTTGCATCTACAAGGGTGTATTCTTGTTGGAGCTAAAGCCTGCTATATGCTCCCATTCTATCCCTGGAGCAGTGACAATCTAATGCAGGATTTAAAGCAGTAAATCAGCAGTATCCGTCTGACTTGATGAGTGTAAATAGATCTTGTAAACAGGAAACCTCACAGAGCTTTTGTCCAACAATCACTTCTTAGCTGTCGTGTTCAATTCAGTTTGCACTTACAATTGTTGGCACAACTTGTAAAGCTGAAGCACCAAAATGTCTCAATTTCTAACAATAAATTAAATGGTAACTGTGCAGGATTCTACTCACTGTAAAATACTGCTTTTATAAACAAGGATTATCCTGCTTTTTACTGGGCAACTGTGACATGACAAAAACTGACAAAATGGTCATAGAATTCAAATTTTTATTGTCCCCACTGGGATATTTTACTCCCTCTATTTGACATCCAATGCCGCTGGGGCATGCTGTCAAAAGCAGTAGGTGAACTGAGTAGTGCCTAGGGACCCATCTCCAGCTCTAGATCCAGGAATACTTAGTGAATGTCAGCTGTAGTATTAACCCTTACTGTGCGTTTTTTAGATAGAATGACTAAGAACGGGATGTTAAAATTAGTTTCCCTTGTTTGTTTTTTTTAAGCTTCAAGCAACAAATGGATATCATTAGGTGTTTAGTGTGTTATATAGTACACGTATATGCATAAATAACACACTTGAATCTAATTTTATCACTTTAAGTCAGACCAAAGAGATAAATTAATATAGCAAGGACATTTGTTGTAAAAGATAAGGTTAAATATAGCTGATTCATTGTCGCAACTACGAACTATTGTTGGTTCAGATAAAGTATATTAAGAATAAAGATCAATGGGACAGCTGCAAATTGCTTTACTATGATTTATCAGTCTGTTTGAGGTTGTCACGAGAGGAAGTGAATCGCAGGTCAAACTGACAATTAAAAACGTCCTTCTCATTTTAAAAGCCTCTTGTGGAACCCAATAGAATTCTGTGTTGGAGCGGAATAATTAATCTAATGCTCTTTCCAAAGCAGATCCTTTCTCTGTTGCCATTGCTGTAGGCAAGCTCAGCACCTCTGTATGATCTGTATAGAAGCCAATAGAAATACTCGGGCATTTGTATTAATATGAGAATCTTGTCAAGTCCATTAGGAACCCAGGCAGCGTTGACATGCGTGATATCTCAAATCCCTCACCTCAAGGCATAATGTATAATGATAACAATGTAATAATAGTGCCAATTTGTTAATGTGGGCTGTAACTGAAAGGTACTTTGCATATTTTGAGCCCAACGCTTTGTTTCTGATCGGTCTTTATGAAAATTGCCACAAATAATGGCTGAGTTGAAGAGATTAAAAGGCTTAATGAAACGGCTTGGTAGGTAAAATGCCTTCATACAATGTCTAATTTTTCTAATATATCCTTTTTAACACAGCTCATATTAAGGTGCTTAATTAATTGCCAGTGGCTATGCTTTCACCACTCATGCCCCATTGAAACCCTGACATGCACAGCTCATTTTGCAATATTGAGGAATTATACCAGCCATGATAGATATCCTTTTCCTCTGAAGGTGAAATTTGACAAGAATAATGAGCATATTCTTGTCACTCATATTACAGGAACAGCAATAGATTTAGTTTTGTGTTGTGGTCTTTGAATTTTATTTAAATTTACTGCATTGTTAGATATGACAAGCTTATTTGAAAAGGTCGGTGCTTCTGTTTGTTGTGTCTAAAACATCAAATGCAACTCCTGTGTTAATCTAGCATGTCAGATTAGAGTAAAGTAATAGGATTAAGCACAAGGCAATCCAGGCATGTAGCGTCAGTGTACAAAAGATAAATATCCATGGAGATTTGTCTTAATTATCTGCATAAATTCAAAGCCATAAAACATAAGTCTTCAGGTGATGCTGTATTAACACGTAATATAATTATAGATGGCTCAAATTGATTTGTGCATGGAGTAGAGCAGGTCAAGTCTTGCCTCGAGCGAACTATTATATTACAAAATCTTCGTGGCATCATAGTAGGGCTGTTATGATTGATGTTATTATAAATGTATTTCATGCAGTTTTTATCTTTTGCACGTCAAGCACTCTGTGACCTGTGAAACGAGCTATATAAATAACCTTTATTTACCGTACTTACCAGTCAATTAGGTTTACATGACAATACTGAAGAATATACCAGTTGTCAGTTTGAAAGAGTTATTAATTGTGAAAAAGTAAAAAGACAAAAAAAAAATTACGTATGATTTAAAAACGTTATAATTCTTGTTTGTGTAAAATTAAACTAGAGACTCCTGAGTGTCCAAGCCATAGTCAAGTTGGTTACAAGTCTGAGCTGCACTCCATAGTTTTACTTTAGAAAACAAACATTGCATTGAACTTGAATGAACTGTTCCGTTGCACTCACTGTCTCCCAATACATCATACACACATAATGTAGCCCTAATCAATACTCAGGGAACAAAATGTTTTTTGATAGACCGCATACATTGACAAACCCATTTAGACACATCAGTCAGGGGATTCACTGACTGTAAAAAGCCTGAATCATCGGTTACATCATGAGACATAAAGACACAAAATGCCCACTGTCCCTTGGGTAGGAGTAGATTTTTACAGTACAGTGCGTTTCAAGTATGTATAACTAACTAACTAACATCTAGAAGACTGAATTATTGAGCGCGTAAGATGATATCAGACCTTGTTGTGTGTCTTTTATTGGCTATTACTTCCTTTTCTTTCCTTCATTTATTCTTTTGCTGTGATTGATTTGTACGTTATGACTTCCCGCATTGAAAAACACATTGCTTATGTTTTCCTCTTGTTTTTCTCGCACGCATGGTTCTTGACTGTTTTCGTGCTGCACTTAAATTGGATACAGGTAATTAGTCAGCTCTTTTATGATGTGCTTAGTACAGCTATTAAAGGAACTTGTAAGAGGAGGTTGATAACATGAGGAGCCTTACTCAATGGCAGGGTCAAGTGTGTAAGAAGAGAACTCATCTTGAATAGACCTCTTGTTGTTGACAATGTTTCACAGTCTGGTATTATAAGTCAGGCCCCAAGATGGTCTTCCACTTCACCTTTAGTTTTTTGTGTTCACATATTTATTACAGCTTTCATGAGCACAATAATTAAACAAAAAGCAGACCAAAACAAAAACAGTGAGGTCTAAATTAACTAAATTAACATAGAGACACATAAGATTTATACAGTGAGACAGTTCCATCCAATTGCTCAGCCACCACCATTAATTAACCAACTTAACTAAAGCTTTTTCATAGTGGTAAATGAAAATAGGACATGATTAATATGTTTTTATGATGTAATTCTATATCTATAACTATATATTATATATCTATTTTACTAGGAACTGTATATATTTTTTCACAAATTGACTTGCATGTGGCACAAATAATTTTATTTGAACAATGTAAACTCATACTGTGATACATAACTCATACATAATTTAAATGTTACAATGTTAGGTTTATTTAAGCTTGAAGCAGTTCTTGAACAGCATACTATTATAAATGTGTAACAATAGAATGACCAAGTATGTACGATTTTTCAGTGCCAATGTAATGTTCACTAGTTCACAGTTTCTTATCTATTAATGGGAAAAACTTGTAGATTGTTATAAGTGGACTAAAGGAGTGTGACGTCACCCATAGTGTTCGGCTTCAGTCAAATGAAGCTCACAGTGCTGGCAGTTATAGGGGCACATTTGGAGCCCCATATTAGGAATAGGAATTTATTTATGAACAAAATAGTGAGATAAAACACCAGGATCAGGTGGAGTGGGTTAATATGAACATGAGGAGCCTGACAGCACTAGTTACAGAGAGAGGGACGACTATTTCAATGTAAAATCAATTGGAAATAATCGATGGAGCCAGAAGTGACTCCATGTTCAGTTCCTATTTGGAACGGGGTGGCTAGTGGCTTAGCTATGTCCAAATACTGCATAAATTTTGCATTCCACTAAAAATAAACAAGCAATGGAACAACCCCTTCTAGCGGGTGAATGCTTAACCCGTTACACCCACATTTATTTACCTATTTACCTATTTTGTACCAGTGCTAGGAATGCAATGGCATTATGCCCTACAATCTTAATATATGTGTTATTTATTATGTTTGATACAGAACTTTTTATGCATTCAAAACGGTGAGTTTTGCAGTGTTTTGGTGCCAGAGATCTCTTTGTCAGCCGTGGTCTGACTACATAATCCATCCAACAACATCTTATCTCTGGGTCTGGTTCATGTTTTGATAACAATACTTCTGATTTTGTTTGTTGACTTGGGCAGATGCTAAACCGTTTCCTAGAAATAAAGGACATTATTCACACTCTCCTGTTCTTGAACAAATTGTGCTGATATGCTATTAAATCCAATAAATCAACTTGCAACAAGAATCTTTTTCTGCCTCAATCCATCTACTTCCTGTTTTCTGTGCAGCCCGTGGCATATGAGGTTGCAGTTGTTTAGGTCTAAACCTGGGTTTGTTAAACTTTGTGTGGGAGGTCACGGTCAGCTAATCCAATTTGTAATCAAGGTTTTCTTAATCCTCAAGTCCCAAAAAGCTGTTGTCTTTGGAGAAATCACATTTACAGCCTCAGGTCAAGCTGACTTTTTAGTGCACTAACTTTACCCCTTTTAACACAACCTACAGTTCTATGTTGACTTGCCTGTGGCATTGTTTTCCTGGCGGTAGAGACTTCTACTGATGCTGAGATAACTTTTATGTTCAGATATCTAGAGTGAACTGTAGATAAATGGAAAACTCTTGTGTTTCATCTGATGTATGCACAACACAGCATTTTTAAATCTTATCTTTTAAAACACAAGTCTTAATGCATGAAGTGGCACATTTTGCAGTCATTAATATGATGAATCTCTCTGTGTTTGTCCTTGTGTGTTGTGGGCAGCCCCTGCAGAGCCACTGCTGTGTAAGTTTGCTGACGGAGGCCAGAAGAAGAGACAGACCCAGGTCAAATATCCCCAGAATGGCCGACCGTGGACAAGGGATGGAGAGGTGAGATGCACTTGTTTATTTAATCATCACACTAAAGATTATGCATAAATCATACACACCCAGATCTATCAGATATACCTATTTTAAACAATGACATCCAGAAATACACCAAACAACTTCTTTGATAAAATGTGTAATACAAAAAAATATATCCATAGGACTTTAAATTACCTTTATTCATTTTTTGCTTGAGTAGTTAGTCAAAAATGTTGGTTCTATTACTAATACTACAGAGTTGGAATGACATTTCTGAATGCTTTCAGCTAATAAAATATAACAATTTAAAGTAGATTTTTTATGCCCAATGGAATATTTAGCTTGAAAGTATTTTATTGAGAATAATTTAGCTAGTATCACTGTAAGAAATCTAAACTGGTTAAACAAATCAAAACGAGATGGCTAAATACTTGAATGTCATGTGGATATTCCCTGAGTGCATTGTGGGATAATTGTAGACTAGTTAAAAACCTGCTGCTGGCTCTGCTGTACTGCCCACACCATTGTGGACATTACTGTATTTTAACTGGCACCAAAAATCCATTTATATATTTAAAAAGCATGTTCTGTCTGACACATGGCCCATTTTACATTTTATAACAAAGCGTTTGAGGCCTGACAGGGCTCCCTGCAGGGTCATTATCAGTATTCATTTCCAATAACTCAGTGCATGCCAAATCGGAGATGCCTCTGACAGTATAAAAGCTGGCAAATATCAAGGTTGTTAAATGTAAAATATAAGGTTTCTGCAAGACCCCAAAGCCAAGTTGTTTTTCCTTTTGTTGAAACTCCCACCTCCAGTCTGTCATGTACGGATGAAATGAAAGCAGATTGGAAGCAGATTGACTGTTGCACAATGCACACAGTTCACAAGTTGCTAGTGTCGATACCAAAGCTTTAATTTACAGAACAAGGGAAAGTGAATAATAATGTTGCCACCCACACGACAAGTGCACTTTCAAACAATTTCCCAACATTTAAATTCCTGGAGCTCGAGCCAGCACAGAGTGGAGAAGTGAAATGAAACAGAACCGAGCTGAAATGGGAGCTCCATAATAATAACGGGAAGACGCCACAGTGCTGCATGTGTGTGTTTACGAGACACACTGAATTTTATTTAGTGTTGTTTATTGTGCTCTTCTGAATCAAAATAATAGAGTTTAGAAACTGATTTTATGAAATTTCTAAATAAGCCACTGACCGTTACCAGCTTTTCTGTTTGTGCTATTCTCAAGAGACAAGGGTTTCTACTCTGGTTTCTCTCATAGTGAAAAAAACCCAACAACAAATAGAAAGAAGATTTTATCCAATTTTTGCATCAACTAAACACTGTGTTTGAAACATGGTCTTGCGTATTGCTGCGTTTTAATTCCCATGAGATGAAACTACCAAACTGTGAGGCCAAAATTGGAAACTGAACCTCACAATTTAGTTATAAATTATGTCAAATCTCTTCTTGTCTTGTGGGAATTGTGTCTCGTCCCTCCCCTGGTCACCTAGGTTACAGTTATAATCTTGTTTATCCTCTATATGGAGTCACAGGCAAACAACTATAGAACTTAAGTGCATGAATATATTGATTTAATTTTAATCCAGATGCCCTTCCTAAAACTTCTATTAAATCTCAATTATTTTTCACCATCTGAGGTCATCTGTTTTGGGGCACTTTTCATATTTTCTGACACAATGTAATCAGGTCTGAAACAGTATTTAGTGGAGGAAAAATAAACACTGCAGTGGAGTTCAGTATCAGGGCACACTTTCAACTCATGTGCCAATTTGGAAAGCAGAGGCCCGTGTGGAACAAGTACAAATGACTATTGCGTGTGGAGGCAGGCTGGATAAAGGGAAGATGGAGAATAATAAAGATTTGTAGACACTACTGTTTGCTTCAATTTGGTTTAGGGCTTGCCAGGAGGTAGTTGATTTGTGATCCCTTTGGAGCCAAGAGAGACGTAATATTATTATAGAGGTTAACTCAAATAAGATGTCTTGGTTACATTTTAAATTAAGGTTCCTTCGTAAAGGTGTTAATAAGCACTAGTCATTGTTTTCAAGCATGTGTAAACTTTTGATTGGAATGAATACAGTAAAACATGCATGCATATTTGGGGGCTGTACATTCTGATATGCAAACCTAAAAACAGGCTCTCTAGTGCTCTCTAAATTTTTTATTTTGAAAAGTTCTTAAAAGAACATCTATTTGTTGTGGACAAATTACAGAGAGCTTATTTGTGATGCAGAACAATCTGACATCTTCTCATCTTTCTAGATTTGACTAAGAAAGGCGAATAAGGGGTGGAATATCAGTTTCCATATGTATTAATATGCACCCTTCTATCTCAAATTTGAGGTAATAATTCAAATATTTAATGAGCTCATGTTTTGTTTTTGACACTTGCTGTTCTGTGAGGGGCGCAGGGAAGGGCTGTGTGGTGGGAGAATGGGGGTGATGCAGAGAACCTCCTGGTTACTTATATAGACTTGACATTTATTATGCCAAGTTTCTCTACAGAGGTGTAGGTAATGGTAGTTACGCTTCGCATTTAAATGGATTTTTAAGGTGGTGCAACTGAGTCATCATTCAATATTTCTTCATTCAAAATTAGAGGTCACTCAGTCACTGGTCTTTTTTACTACTTGACTTTCAGATTTCAGATGCTCTGGATCCGGGTTTAATTCCTCCCTTGCATTTCATATATGTTGTTAAAAAAGTACACTGACTGTGTGACTTATTAACAGGCTTGTTGGTTGAGGCCAAATTTAAAATCTTTGTATGATTATTCATTGTTACAAAAGTAGTCCATATTTCAGATTAGGGAACTGGAATACTTTATAAACTTTATAGTAATAAAGCCTTTTGAATGTACTTATCAAATAGTCTTCTGTTATAAACAAATTAAGCATGTTTATTAAGGGTTTGAATACAACCATAAATCATTTCGTTTGTTTATAATAGCAGCTTATTAATGCTTGCGCTTGTGTTTTGTTGTTAATGGCTTGTTAATATTATAAAGCATCTACAAATTATAGTTATTGCTTTAAAAGTGATTATAAACAAATGAATAGTGCTTATTATCGCCTTATAAATTCTTTACTGAGGAACCTTATTTTAAAGTGTCGCCATGTCTTTATTGACAAGAAGAAGCAACAGTTGGGTTTGAACATGTAACTTTCTGATTTGAAGGTGTAACAACCAAATGTGTCAACAGTAAAAATGTTGAGTATTATGCTAATTCTATTTTTTGTAATATTAGAAACACAAGCTGTCATGAAGTATTTACTCTCCATCTGTGTGCCATTGTTACGAGTGCGACTAAATCAACAAGCTCTGCTCCAACTTGATGTGTAGTTATTTTGACTAAAGTGTTTTTGGACACATCATATTCCAAGTGACAGTGCAGATGTTGTCTGTGAAAACATGCACCAATTTGAGTTTGTCAGACTTGCTAAATCTGTCTCTTTTGTTCTGAAGAAGTGGGACAGCTGCAGACAGGGACCAGATTGTGTGTTTTTGTTTATATATTTGTATTTTTTGTGTGTGTTTTTCAATTGTCCTGAGATACTACAGTTTGTCATTACCATATTTCCAGTAAACTTTAAATAGGTGTTAATATCTAAATATCACACTCTTTTTAATGAGTAGCACTTTCCACTAGCAACTCTAACCAATGTCCTAATTTTGTGTCTCCAGAGTGGCATGGCACTGACGTATGATCCTTCTGCAATTCAGAATGGGTGAGTTGACTTTATTCAGATGTTCTATTTTTGTTAGATTGTTCATGTGCAAGAAAGGGTATTGGAAGTACTCCATTAAGAATGTAAGTAAATGACAACTGCTTCGACAAAAGCGCTACTTGAATATTATCTATGTAAGATCTGTGCATATTTACAAACAGCTAAATGTTATTACTACAACAATTAATGCTTACCAAGGCCCAACACTTGATAGGTACTGACATAATTTACAAGCAAAACACTGTTTTTTACTTGTAAATTTCTTGATTACAATGAAATGCTTTCTGAAATTTGACACGTAATCAAAAACATAACTTAATTACTTCACATTTGCTGTTGTTTATGATTATTAACAATATGGCACCTCCACTACTCAAAAAGTTTGCCATATTAACATCTGAACAGATGCAATGGCCAGTGTAGCGTACCTAAAAGAAAAACAGCTCTAGGCCATACAGCACTCTCTTTCAGGATGGAACAAACTACCAACACATTTAAAACTATGCAAAGATCTAAAAAGTTTAGAGCTGAATTAAGAAAATATGTTTTAACAACACAAGTGCCAACATTAATGTGCCAGCTAATCTAGGGAAAATAGTTTATAAATAACAACTAAATTATAGCTGATTACGGGCACATAGGGAGTAGAACAGGAGTGGGATAGAGATATTTAATGTCATTGTATATTTTATAACTATGTGGATATAGATTGCATTGTTCTATGCTTTTGGTGTATGCTGTGCTTTGGCTGTCTCAGGGACTGCTGATGGAAATTAGCTTCGAGAGCTATAGTCTGGTCCAAAGCATCTCTTAAATCCTTCTTTGATTTATGCTCCTGTACTACTACTACTACTACTACTACTACTACTACCACTGCTACTACTACTACTACTACTAACTACTAATAATAATAATAATAATAATAATAATAATAATAAACGTTCATGTTCTAGCTCCAATCACCCTGACTGCAGCACCTCACACAGATGCTCACACATCCACATCAGCACTTTTCTGCAGACGAGCACCTGCATGCAAATGATCAGACCACACACACACGCACGCACACACATCCACACACATGTGCACACACATGCACACACACTACACTGTCTGCTCTCCTCTACCACGTGACTCATGCAGCCGTTAGCATAGCGCCGTCAGATGCTACTCAATGCTAAGGGTTTGAGCTGGTGCGTTGCCGTGGCGCTGTAAGACTTTCGTCAGCCGAGGCTATCTGCGGAGCTGCCAGCCTGAATGCATGGGCTGTTGGGAGTTTGGAGGGAAATTGTAGATTGGTGCTGTCTACCGGGAGCACTGCTGGTGATGCGATCCCCGGAGACACTTTCCTCTAGCTCTGCTCCTCTTTTGGTTCAATACTCCCTCCTCTTTGTATCATATTCCTGCGCCTGCTTTCTTGTTCTTTCAAAGGTTCAAATTACCTCCTCAACCCTCTGGCCTTTCCTGTTCTGATCTTCTGTTTTTCATAAAGTTATCAAACCATGTATTACCCTCATCTGTTTTGCTTTAGTATGGGTTTACAGAATTTTTGTAAAAAAAAAAAAAAAAAAACATGCAAGTGAAAAATAAGGTATGATTGGAGATGTATCAATTACCTTAGTTCCAACACACATTTTGAGCCCTACTGCCAGGCTCAAAAGAAACCCCTAAAGCGAAACTTGAAGTACAATAACATTTTATGATTCCAAATTAGTTAAAACTGGGGGGGCAATTAAAACCCTGGAAAGAAAAGACAATGCCATTACATTTTTATGATACCCTTACAACAACAAATTTGCCATGTATTTTTAAGCTCTATTGTATTTCTAAGCAGACCACCTTTGCATTCTGATTTAGTCTTCCCAATAATCAACTGTCTGTTTGCATGGCTTAAGCCCTCTCTGACCTCTTTTTCCGAGGTCAACGAAAGCTCCTTCCGGCAAAGCACTAAATGACTGTGAAATGCTAATGCAGCTAATTAGAGAAGCAAAACGCACAGAGGCAGCTCTTGAATAGAAAGCAGGGGCCGGATGAGGTTATGAGGAGGGCAAAGTCAGGAATAAAGTCAGTACAAGGAGAAGGCAAGGGTACCAATCAATTACTGCTCCATAGTTTGTGAAAAACCTGGACAGATGGCTGTTTGGATCTGATGCCAATCTGATATTAGGGTGATACCAGTGAGAAGTGTCCTTATTGACCAAAATGCTTCTTTCATCAATGACATGCAGAAGGACAGAACTTTAAAGGTGTCCTAACCTTTGGACACGATGTTACATTTGCCTAGAATGTTCAACAGTATGTGATTAAACGTATTTATGTCCATGAAGATAAGCAGGTGGCAGCACAAGGTCAATTTACAGAGCGAAACTGTAGAGAGGTAACCCCACCACAGTAAGAATGTATGTTTTTCAAAGTATTTTTGAGCAAATAAAACACCTATAATGAAATAAAATGACAGATATAAAAATGCAGTGCCATATATGAAATATTCCAAGCAAAGGAAAAATACTTCCATAAAAACAAGTAGGTTTAGTAGCTCCACCAAAAAAGTTATGTAGTGCACCTTTAAATTGTTTACATAATCACTTTACAACAACTTGAAAATGGTAAGTACATACCTGAAAATGTATGAGTTTTCAGCAGTACTGTAACTACATGTGTACATTTTTTGCATCTTTCAGTCTCCTAGTCTCTTGCTTCTCCTCCATCTTCAGCTCTTACTTCCACCTCACACATACAGACTTGCGTTTTAGCATGCTAACCCACATTTCTCTGCTGAAAAGTCACTGAGGTCGGCACTAAATCATTGGCTAATTTTTCAGGGCAAACTCCTGACAGTGCGGCAGGGTCACACCAGGGATTCGCGAAGAGGTTTTAAATTCAATCTGCTAGTAATGTTCTGGTCGCAATTACATGTTTAGTGTATTGTTTAAAGAGCTTGCCGCACAGTCCCTATTGACAGCCTGCTGCTCGGGGCTAATAGCCTCCATCAATAACCTTGGATCTGTCCTCTACGTACTATTCCTCTCTCTCAATGCACATCAGTCTAATGAAAAATACAATAAACACAATCAGAGGAGCATATTGAATAACCAGGCTGTGTGTGCTCATTTGTATTCATCACTGACACTAATACAGTATTTCTAATGCAAGTCATACATTCATTGTGTAGTCAAAAGTCAGATCCATACTGCTTTATGATTAGTAAAGGTAATTTTGGCCTTGTCACTAATCATCTATTTGACATGGACCAGTTCTCAATACAAGGAGACGTTCAGTTTGCTTACTTTTTGTTGGCTGTATGTTGGCTGTATGTGTTTTGTCTCCCAAACTTTGCTGGGGATGTTTCATACAAAGGCATTAAGCATATCTATTCCCATGGAGACAAACGAATTCCAGTTACAGTTGAGATCTGTGTTTTTTGGTATTTTGCTGCAAGAGAAACACATTAAATGTAAGTTAGGCACGTTTAATGCCATACTGTGGAAATTTCAAAACAAAAGATGAAGGCAAGCAATTGGCAGACTCCACATCAGAAGTTACAGTGCCCACCTTTAATATTTGGTAATTACCTGGTTTAATTTGTATCCTATTAATTAATATATATTAGCATTTCACTCTGCAACATCCATACAGTTGGTACAGAGGTTTTCATTTAGTTATGTGGAGCTGTCACAACATTTATTTTCTATACACAGCCTGTCGTTTAAATCCTTTGTTCTGTGCACATAAAACTGTGCAATGGTTTTCAAAGGCAAAAGAATAACACATAACCCCAGCGTGTTTCCTTTGAGGCCAAACACAAAAGAAAGCAAATGGAGACATTAAGCTACAGTTTAAAGCAGCACAGGGAAAATTAAAGAAAATCTATGTCCCTTCAAGGAGTTAGGGAAAAATCCGAGTAAGCCGAGCCAGTGTCAACACACCTAGAGAGACAGAACACACAGCTGACCTGCGCATGAACTAGAACTGGAACTTGGCAAGAGCAAATTTATGGCGCTAATAATTCATAAGAGTTCTTTTTCTGGTGCCAGTGAAGTGAAGCATTCCGTATCTAGACTTGTGTTGTCCAGCTTTTTACGTGCAACTACCGACCCTTCAGCACGGCAACTAGAGCATAAACGGCATCCAACGTGAGAAAGGCTGCAGCGTAAAGCTTATCACTGGCCTCTGTATCCACATGGCTGAACGGTTGTGGGTTAGAAAGACTCCTATAGGCTTTGCACTTTGTTCAAAAGTGTGACTATCAGTTGCCCAACACTTCTAATGTAAAACAGCATGCAGTAACAGTGCAGGTGGTCGGATCTCTCTCACAGCTGAATTAAGAAGCCATTGTGTTAGATCTGGCTGACACCTCTGTTAAAACAATAGGCTGTTGTGAAATATTTTGAGATGCATAAACATAGTAAATTATATATTAGCCTGAAATTTTAACTGCTGTTTTGAATTAAAACGTGACACCTTTTCTAGCAACGGCAGTAAATAACATGATTTGTGTATTATTTTATTTTACACTATTTTCTGATCTATGTTGTAATGTTGTTTCCTCATTAAAGATTTGTGGTTTGTTTCATTCACATATGTTTAACACACAAAACCTGCATATTATGCTGTCTGTCTGTTCTTCTCTCAGACAGAAAACACTCTGCCCCACCTTATGATGTCATGTAGTAATACAGGAAGTACTCTACTGTGTTTTTAAACTTCATACTTATTCACTAGAATCATTTGGATAATTTCAGCCCTGAAATTGTCCAACTTTACTGAAGAAAAGGTAGCTGTTAACTTGAAAACTACCGTTTCATCACATCACAAGGAGGAAAAGAGCATTTTGAGTGAAGGTGATAGGTCAATTAAATACAATCCATCAGTGAACCTGCCCTGGGACTACAGGTGGAAGTTAGCACTGCTGCTGCAACCTGGTACAATGCATCTCTCCTGTTAAGGTTAATGTAAAAATTGTGTGTTGTCCCTGTCTCATTAAATAAATAAATAAATAAATGAGCTTTGGAGATGTAATAATGCAGTATTACTCAGACATGTGTGAATGAAACAAAATACAACTCCCGGTATGTTTTTTGAGGAGGTAACAGCATTTCCAACATGCCTTAAAACTTACAAGAGTCAATGTTGTGTAATATAGGACCTTAAATGTAATATTGTTGACCTTTTCATTTTTGGGAATACATACCTCCTTTTGTTAGTGACGGATATAATAGTAGTATGAGTAAAAGCAGTGGGTTGAATTAGAACTAGCATGTGTGTAGTATACTTATAGTGGTCCTGGTTTGAACCTAGTGCTCTTCATGTAGACTTTGTTCAGTCATGTTCTAGTCCTGGTTTAGTCCTGATGTAGTCCTGTTTAGTGGCAGGTGTAGTGCCAAATTTAGTCCCCGTTTCTTCGTGGTGTGTCTGTTAATATTGGCAGCAGTATTAGTTTCAGTATTATTCAATGACATACAGTTCATTGCGTAAATTTTTGTCTCTTCTGTTTAGACTGGAGCTTTGCCATAAAAACATACCACTTTACCAGTGAAGCTACACATGTCTTACAGCAGGTCATTTAATCATCCAATCAGGTTAGAGTCAGATAAAGAGGGTTTCTCCTTCGGCCCTTGCCTCCTCACTCCTCCCTCCCCTCCCCTGCTCCATTATTCAGTCAACAGACACTTTGGGATCGATCGGGCACAGCAACACGGCCTGCTGGATGAAACATGTCCTCTCTAGGTACACAATGATAAATAAAGCACCGCGAGCCGCTGCAGGTTTGAGGGGATGAAATAAAAAAAAAAAAATGGCGCAAAATTAGAAGGGCAAACAAAGGTAGGAAGGGAGGTAAACAGATTTCAAAGGCACTTGTCGAATACAAAGTAGAAGCGTGTAGGTGGAACATGAAGGACAATATTGGACTAGTTCTCCCACACACACATTAAGGTGATAATATATTATATGCATAGCAGTGTGGAGCAGGCACTTTTGTAATGCCATGTGCGCCGGTGCTGTGTCAGGTCCCATTTGAGGGCGCCTTTGATGGGTTGGTGGGAATACGATACAAAATTTATTGTTTCCATGACAGCCCTGATGAAAGCTGATTCATTTTGTCAGCTATATCTTCAAGAGACTGGCGTGCTTGAACAAACAAAGAGATACTAAAGGCTCAATTACACCTTTACATGTGGTCTGCCCTGAGGAGATGATGGTGTATTCAAAATGCATAATACAGTGTTTTGTTAACCTGTGATTGTATTTGTCCAGGTTCTACTCGTCGCCGTACAGCATCTCCACCAACCGGATGATAGCGCAGACATCAATCTCGCCGTTCATTGCTGCCTCTCCTGTCTCCACATATCAGGTACAAGCTCTGCTAACAGCAACATAGGACACCATGTTCTGCCTGCTGGATATCACAGGGCTCTGGCATTAGATTTAAAATGCTTTCCGGGAATTGTCATTGATTTATTACTATATTAAGCAAACCACTCTTGTAATCTGATAAATCTTCAAATTCTATTACATTATTATGGAAAACAAAAACAAAAAGACACCTTTAGTTTTGCCTTTTTGGGAGCCTTATTTAAAGATGCAATGTGCAACTCTTCTGGTATAGGGTCTGCTTCCTACTTGTCTCCATGGAGATGATATTACTTTGCTTTGAGTGTTCCATGGTATGACATAAAGCATATCCATCTAACATTTATTTATTATGGGTGTTCTGTTGCTCAAAAATACGATCATTCCTTCTGTGAATAGGGGCGACACCACAGATCTGAACTGTCTCCCTTGTAATAGATCTCTACTGTGGAACATTTTAGATAATGTAGTAACCTTTCTATAGAGAAGCAGGTGGCAGGCCCTCCTCTAGACTAAATATGCAATTTTCTGTTAAAGGGTCGGCTACTTGCTAGTCTGCATGGAGAGTTCAGTTATATAGTGCAATTACCAGAATCTCTGTAACATTGGAGAAGGTGTAATTTTATAGGAGGAATTGCATCTCACTGTAGTAGTCCTCCAGTTTTTCAAGAAATTCAAATACATGGTATCTGATACAAGAATAACTCTGCACAGACCCTGCAGTTATTGAGCCTCCCCATCTCATTATATAAAGGCCATATACAGTCAACTCAAAGGAGTCTTGCAATTGAATTATCAACTTTTCTGTTTGGGTTTATTCTTCCAATCACAATGATAAAACAGCGGCTTATAGCAGCATGCCTCTCATCGATCCTTCATACTTAGAGCAAATCCTCTTTTTGTTTCTCGCTCCCTTTTCCCATGTCTCCTATCCCCTATCTCCTATCTCCTTTGTCCACACTCTCTCACTGTAACTGTAGTGAAGCTTTGACTCAACTTAGTCCTTGATCCCCCGTTTGTCAAACAGACATTAAACCAAACAGTCCGCCCCCGCACGTTTACACAAGTGATGCAGTAAATGAGGAAGACTCATGCAATGATACACTTAAAGCAGACAGAGGCATTAACTCAGACATAAATTACCAGAGCGTTGCTTCAAAATAATACCTCTCAATTTGAGGGCTAAAGATTGTAGATTGTCAACACATTATGCAAAGTTACTCAAATTTTCTTTTCATCTTTCACTTATCCTCAAACAGTTGCTCAGTTACTTGGCAGGTTTTTAAGCCAGATGTCCTTCCTGATGCAACCAACCACATGTATTATGTAACTGGGTGAATTGTCTAGTGTGTTGGCGAAGTGTTCACTGCAAGACAGTCCTGGGTTCAAAACCTGACTTGGATGGGTTTTCTTCCGGATGTTCTGGGTTCCCCTTTCAGTCTAAATCAAGCTACCTAAGCCTCCTAGTCCTGATCAGAGCCAGCTCAAAAATTGGAGATCCCAAAATGTTACACTTAGAGGACGAGTTTTGTGGACATTATGCTATAGATTTTGACCCATAGTCTTTAATTTAAAAGTTTAGGTTTAATAAATAAATTAGGTAATTCATTGCTAGCTACCACTGAAAATGAAGCTCTCACATACACACAATTAGCTTATGTCTCTTTGTGTATATGACAAAAAGCATTGAGGGACTTGTTGTGGCTGTGTTAAAGCAGGCCAATGGGCAGTAGGAGATGAAAGTGGTGATTTGTGTCCAGGACGGGCTTTGATGATGAAACCTCCACTGTGCAGCAGTAATTATTAGAGCCTATTGCTCTCACTGGTCTCTGTATCCTCTTATAATTACAACATAACAGTATATAGTGGACCCTCAGTACGTGCTGTAATTTTTTTTTATAAGAAACACTGCCGTAGGGACTGGCAGCTCAGAAATGGACTTGTAAAGCTGTGGCTCTAATGAATAATTATATATTTACTGGTACATTTGGTGCTTTTAACAGTCTAACTATTTTCATAACAAAATTTGTCGTGTTCATTTGACTTTACTACTCTCTATGATAATAGTGTGACATTTGCTATATCTACATTTGCTACAGTGCTACATTTCTTTGGAGCAAATAAAATGTGATGTTTTGTGGTTAATATCTCTGTCAAGGAATAAAAAAAAGTCCATTGATTCTGACAAATCAAATTACCTGAGGTTAAATGTGTCTTGCACAATACCCTTGCAAATGTGTTGTATTATTAAGCTCCACAGTTGTGAGGATGGTTCTCGGTGTTCTTGCCTCAAGATTCCACCCAATTCCTGTTCAAAATCCTTGTCTGTGCATTTTTCTGTTTAGACATCAGTCACTACTTGTCTATTTCAATAGAAACATTATTTCTTCTGTGTCTCTCTAACCTGTGTATTCTCTTTTTTTTCACTCTCCAGGTCCAAAGTACATCTTGGATGCCACATCAACAGTATGTTATGCAACCCACAGTAAGTAGAACTTAAATCATAATTAGTTAGTGGTCTTGTCTAAATGTTTATAAATAAACGTAAAATAAAAATACATATTTTGGATGATTAAATAAAATAAAACATTGAAAGACTAGTTGGACAAAACCTACACTTGTTTTGTTTTTATTGGTTATAACTGGAGTATAACAAGCTACTTTGCATTTGACAGACTCAATGGGCATAATCACTGTACATAGTGCCTGCATAAGTCAAACCATGGAACATGTAGAAATAAAGACATAGCTCTGCAGTAAAGTCGTACTGTGCTGAATCAGCCGCTGTATAACCTCCTTAAAGCCACTCTGAAGACGCAGCTGCTCCCAATACAATACATGACAACATGTCGCCTCCTGCTGGCGGAGAAAGGAACAACAAGGATATATAGTGTCCCAGAAATTACTTAAAATAAATAAAATTTTAAAAAAGATGAAGAAAAAAAAAAAAAGAAAAGAAAATTCAGCAATATTAAACTTTACCCCACTTCCACTGTTCTACGATTTGATTATTTGTCACTGTTCAACATTCACAGAATATAAATTTAAAACAGATAAAAGAAAGCATTAGGAGAACTTTGTATCTTATAAGAATCCCAAATGACAGAAATAACAATGCATCAATAAACATACTATAATATTATAAAATATATCTTGGTAAATAAGTCAAAGTTAGATCTTTTCCAAATATCAGTGTCTCCATGATTTTAATATAAAGCAAGCAGTTCCACATTTAAATTTTTTAAAGTTTGTGAGTTAATCACATATCAAAAACTTTCTTATAATGGAAAAAAGTCCTCAAGGTGTTTTGAGGACATCATTTCCAGTTGGCTTCACTTGTATATTCAGAAGATTGTGGATTATCTCATCAGTGTTTATGCCTTGGACTTCCTCCAACATCTGCAGAAACTCTCTACCTGCACAGCTCTGTTCTGCTCCATTTCACTTGTTACAGAACAGAGCTGGCTGCAACGCTCCATCAGCTGTACATAAGCCTTACATAAGAGCCACACTGCTCTGTATGTTATTATATTATTAGATGTTTTATCTATTTACTGTGCAAAGTAGTTGGATAAAGCTTTAGTGCTAGGAAAAGAAGAGTTTTTTGCAATTTGAAACATTAGAAAGAAAGAAAAAAACACAAGATGGTTAGTTTTAATGTGGACCCTGTCCATGTCCTTCAAACATATATAATTTATCCTTGAATCTAGTTGATACTTTACTGCAAGATTTATGAGTTTTTATACTAAAAGAGCTATTAACCCCAGGAGCATTAACGTTTGAGAGAAAACTGTTAAACTAATACAAGAACCCCATGTACTTCAGAACACGTTTGTAGAAGTCTAAAAGGGTTAGCAGATTTTATATCTCATAAAAATTATATTTTATGTTTGTAGAGGTGATTTGCTTTTAGTAACCACTCAAACTGTGATATCAATGCAATTGCATTGTATCTTGGAGCTCTAATACTGCAATTATGCTTTTCAATACAAACATTATTTGTATTACAGTAAATGCAGTTCCAAAAGGATGACTTAGGGACAACATATATTTTCAAACTTTAGTCAGTGGAGTAATGACACACATTTCTTTGTATTTCATAAAACTCCCTCTAAGACTTTAGCTCCGTGGCTGTCTAGTATCTCATTGTTGTTCTCCCATCTGTCTAACTGCCAACTCCTAGAGCATTCTGTTGTGGCGTAGACTGATTCAAATGATGGCTCTGGGAGGGGAGATTATTCCTCTGTAAATGTGCTTTCAAACAAATGTCCCATCTAATTATTTGGCAGGCGCCTTGATATGACTTCCTACATTTTACGTGAGCGGGGAGCAGAGAATAAGCGCTGGGATAAAGCGGATATAAATAAATAGGACTTGTGTATATTTGACAGAGTGGGGCCAGGAGAGAGGAGCAAACTCACAGAATCTACGAGATTACAAAGAATAAATCTGGAACAAAAGGGAAGAAAACAAATCTTGCAAAAGCATGTCAGAGCTGCGTATTTCTTGGGTGGACAGGGGTTTGACAAATGAAGACTGCATCAGAGAGTAGACCGATACGGAGAGACACAGTGGTCAAATACTGGTCATATAGTGGTATATATAGTTGGCTTCATTTGTGCCTTCTCATCATACTGCAAAATTTTTGTTGTTGCACACTCTACAATGTTTAATGTCATAATTTTCTTCCTGCCATCTAAGCATAAAGGATTACATTAAAATTCTGCACTGTACTCTTCATTTTCAAGTATGGGACTGGTATCAAAAGTTACTTAGCCAAGAGCAGAGTTACTGTGCACAGCAATCTATGCAGAATGAAATTAAGTAAATGAAATATCATAGTAGTATCAGATGTGTTACAGTACAATTTATATTTATTGCAGAATTGACTGTACATGTACTTCTACTGGAGATGCAGTCAGCTTTCTTCATAGTATTTTGTCAACTGACAGCGGGGACATTATTGAAATAATGGTTTTGTCATCTCCCAATGTTGCCCATTACTCCACTTTCTGTTTCATTTGAGGCAAATGTGAATTTTAAATTTACTGCATTATTTAAAAATGCAACAATGAACAAATCCTTGTATTAAAAGCCTTTTGTGCCCAAGCTTAGATTCCCATAATCATATTTACACACTCCCCAATCAAAAGAGTGCACCATTTCTGTATTTAATCTCCTCAAACACACCTCGATGTGCTGTGGAGAGCCTGGAGGATGGTTTGCCTCTGCGTCTTGGTGAAACGCCCAGATTACTTGAACTCTGCGTCGTTACATCTTAATTAGTGAGAGGATGTCTTTGTGTGTAATTACTCACAAATCCCCCTACAGGAAATGAATGCATCCGAATGAGAACACATCTTATAGGGGCAGGCCGCAATGAGCCGCACAAAGAATTGGGATGCAATATCTTCCTGAGTTAAATTGCTATGTTAAGCCCATTCAAAAAGACAATGGAAGAAGCAGTAGCAAAATGTGCATTCCTATCCCTATTTGAACATCTTCATCTCATACAGAATAGGTGATGTAAACTGTAAAGGCTTGGGCTGAAATTGTGATTATTATTAGTGAATAATAATAATAATGAATATTTTAAGTGAATCTGTATCAATTTGAGAATTAAATTTTAACTTCAAATGATTAATTTAGTTATTTAAATTTTATTTTCCATCACAGTGTAGTCTATAGCTTCACTCTAAATGCCTATGTTTTGTTCCTTTCTTTCTGTGGTGTAATTTAATCTGTTTTGGTTCACTCTTTGTTAATTACATTGTTCATTTTATATAAAACGCCTAATACTTGCCTAAACATTGTGCATAAGTTCACTCACCAAACATCTTCAAAATGTCCTGAAATGCTTTCCTGTCCTCTATCCTTTCAATTGAAGTACTTTAAATCCTGTCTAACTATAACTGCTAGAGAGTATTCTTTTTGTGATAGTTTCAAGCCTGGAAACAAAGGTAAAATTAAGACACGAGACGTTTAATTATGGAGAAGGATTAGAAGATAAAGTAAATTAATGTGAAGTTCACTCTTATTTGCTTTTGTAATGCAGGAAAAGGAAAGAAAAAAACGTGCCTTTTAAAATACTTTAATATCACAACAGCAGGGCTTTACAACATTTTAATCAACAGAAGGTTATAAAATCAAACAATAAAACAGTAATTGGTCAATATAAGACAAGCAGATCGACCGATTCACAGGAAACAAGCAAATGTATAACTCCTAAACCAGGTATTGCTTTTGTCCCTGCTCTAACAAAGCTTTTTCTCTATAATCGTACCTTATTATCACTAATGCTGTGTTTTGATGCATTTGGCGCCTAAAGCGTTGTGCTACTCTGCTTTATACTCCTGCTCTGGAGAAATGACAGCCAGAGAATAGAAGGAGGAGACGAGACACAAAGATCCAGTTCAAAGTTGAAGCCGATTTTGTTTTTGTCTGCCTCCTGTCCTCTAGGGGATTGAAACTGTCTGTCTTGCATTTACCCAAGTACAAAACACACACAGGCATTAGACTGACGCTGCATTGAGTTAAACAATCATCACACAGAAAATAAATTGAACGATGCAGACACACGCAGAGATAGCAGGTCTAACACTTGTTCTGTCATAAATCAACGCCGTCAATTAGTCAATGCGTTTCCTTCCCCCTCATTTTTTTGTATTGGTGCTTTTTCTGCGCCTGGGAACCCCTGCTGTGAGATTGGAGGCAATGAACAGAAAAAATAAGACAGAATGAGAAATGATTACCAGAAAGAAGGCATTATTGCTGGATGAAATGCAGTGGGTTTAGGCGGATTTGGGTGGAAAAGCTACCTGCCTCAGCCAGAGCAGTCGGTTCTGGGGGTGATTTGTAGATTCATATGTGTCTCTTGTGTGGTACTTAAAACCAGAGAAAGTCTAGGAAAGTAAGTTTTACTCATTTTTTATTCTTTATTAACAACAAATCTTTTTATATTGACTGTTGTCTTTGCCTATTTTACTATACAACTGTTGTAATTAAAAATAAAGTGTACATTGGGAATCTGAGTTACAAGAGGAAATTTAGTGTTGGAGAGAACATGTTACCTGGGGTCCAGACTGGTTCTTTCTGTACTTTCTATCACAGAAGATGTGTCGGTCTGGTCACCATCTCCTCCGCTGTGACTCAGGCCAAGCTCAGACAGAGCAGTGCAATCAGATGGGTTTATTTTAGCGATGCATGCAAAATAGTCAATTATGCCCATGTGAATTCAGGGAAATTATTTTTTCTTGGATCCACCCAAATAAAATAAAAGTCTGGACCTTAAACAAAACACAGTAAATTCTTTTCTAATTTACTTTTTATTGAAAATGCAAATTACACATTGCAAAGTGCAGAATAAAATCACAGTGTTATTGCTTTTCCATTGTTTTTAACATATACAAACTCAGAACAGTTCTGGGAGCAAGGGAATCTTTTTCTCAATTTGACATAACATTACAAACAAAAAAATAAAACATTTTAAAATATGTCCAGTCGCACTTTCAATAAGAATGAAACCTTTTCCATTGCATAAGAGCAGAGTAGATTGTGATAAACTGAGTGTATTTCTTACTGTCCATTATTACTGTTACTGTTACTATTACTATAGAGGATGAATTTCACTTTTATACTTTTGGACCCATGTGTATATTGTTGACTTAAAAAGTATAGACAGCTGCTATTTCACACAGTCAAGCATCTCCCCATCAAAGCAGAAGCCTGACGCATATCTTTCTGTTTGTCTCGCAAACAAAATGCCTCTCAGCAGCCTCTCCTCAGCTCTGACAGATTGTATGTGCATCCAAGAAGAAGACTTCAAACTGCCACAACTTTCATCGCTCTATGTGTGTTTACAGTCTATGTGTGAACCTCTCCGGGGTATGATGGCTGCCAAAGAACTTGCAGTGCTTTCTAAAACACCTAAATTTAATACCTGTGTTCCTCCAGCATCTCAACAGGCAGAAGTGCTGACTGCTGTCTCGACTCATACAGACAACAGAGCTCCCCTGTGTGGCTTATGGGAAGTGTAGTTCGACGGCGCTCTCCAATAACCCCTCTTTTCTTTTACATGGGGAGAGGAGGGCCCTGTTAAGTCAGACAGAGCCAGGGTTGAGATGCACTGCAGTTTGAAGCTCAGAGCATCAAGGTGCTAGGGCGCGTCAAAGCCCTCCACACTGAAGAGGTTTACTGTAAAAGGATTCTGCTGTATCCAGGAGCAAGCTCTGTCAAGACCGCTATTCTCCTCTGAAACCACACCAGCCCAGCCCTTTTAACTTTGTGAAGCTGTTTATAACTATAAAGAAGGAAAAACATGGCACCTATGCACTTTTAATAAATCATAATGAACAAATAGTTAAAAATGATTCTGGCTTAGTTACTACTTAATACCCCAGCACTAATCTCTTAATTTAATTGGTTAGTTAGTTACTAAGTCTGAGTCATTCTTAATAAAATATTTGTTCATTATGAATTAAGTCTTTGTTTATCCTTTATTATAGTAAATTTTGTAAAGGTGTAGGTACATAAGTGGTACGAAAGCAAAGTAGATATGAATTATGCAGTAATCACTTGCCTTCCAACTAAAGGGTAGCTAGTTCAAATATCTTCTAGATATTGTTCTTCATGTAAAATTTGTTAAGAGATTTTTTTTTTATAATAACATAAATGAAATGTATATTTGCCACAATTGGTTGATTTTTATTGATTGATTGATTTTTATTTATTTTTTTTACAATAAAGCAAATACAACTTGCAGTCAATGTGCTTGGATTATATTTCACATGAACGCACTGTCCCAACGCAGTCCTTTCCCTTAACTTTGAAGGTCCTGTATTATACAAAATGGACTGTTGTGAGTTATAAACCATGTTAGAATTCTGTTATCTCATAAAAGACAAACCTGGAGTTGTGTTTTCTGTCATTCACACACGTTGGAGTAACCCTTTATTATAAATCTGTCTACATCTCAAAAGCTCAAAATGCTCTGTTCCACCTTGTGTTGTCATGTAGTGGTGGTTTTCAAGTTCACAGCTAGTTTTTACATTTAGTTCAGTAGAGATTGGCATTTCCAGGGCTGAATTCATCCAACCGATTCTGGTGAAGGTGTATGGAGTTTAAAAACACAGTGGAGCATTTCCTGTATTGCCACGTGGGATCATAGAGAAACAGAAACAAACTCAAGCCTAAATATGCAGGATATGTGTGCAAAATATGTGAATGAAACAAAGCACAACTCCAGGTGTGTTTTTGTTGAGGAAACAATATCATAATACAGATCAGAAAACAGCATAAAATGGGCCCTTTAAAGGACACCTGATCCTCTGTAGTGTTGTTGTATCAGTGACAGTTGTTTCTCCTCTCTGCCAGAACATAACTGTCTGTTAGTCTTGTTGCTGAACATTCTTTCTGTTGTGTCCTCTCTGCGCCTTAGGGTGCTGTGATCACTCCGGCAGCAGCCATCGAGCCCAGTCTGTCCCTGCACCCGTCCAGTGTAATGGCTCCGCTCATGCAGCAGATGAACCACTTGTCTCTGGGCACTTCGGGAAATGTGAGTCTGTCTCCTACATTCAAGTGACCTTCTGAATTTTTCCATTTTTATATAAAATTATGTACTCTAAGCAAAACTTTCTTGTACACATAAGCTTATTTCAAACAGATATTGGTTGGCAAGTCTGGCGAGTCTATAACACTGTTTAGCACAACAGTTATAGGCTAATATATTGTTTGGACTGATCACCTGATTTAATTTATCCAAACTGCTTAATACAAAGAATAATGCACTACATTTGTAATGAAAAAACTCTGTATGGTAAATGCTATGGTTATTATTTTTCTTATTATACATTACTTGTATAGCTTATAGTAATTTAAATTTATATAATTTTGCGAAAATTATCAAAATCAGCCCCACCTATCAACCTCATAATATCGAGTTTAACAACCACTGGTCAATCCCTTGAATCAAATGTATAAATTTGTGTCACAGTTTCAGCAAGTGGATACCACTCTGTGTGTCTGTGCTATGTACAAATGACCAACTAAAATTATTATTTTATTATTATTCTAATTACATGACAAAATGTTTTTCCCTTTTTTTATAGTACATGCCTGCTGCAGCCACTGCCCCTATGCAAGGAACCTACATTCCCCAGTACACTGCAGTGCCTGCCTCTGCCATCACAGTGGAAGTAAGGACACACAAACTCTTGTTTATTGAGCCTATTACACGAGCCAACTGTCTGCACAGCAAGCCACAGTGGTCTTCAGAGGACACATTTAAAAGCTTTACGGGTGTAGCTTGAAAGCACTTGTGGCACATCTGAACTAAACCTAGGACTATTAGAGTTATTGTCTGTTGAACTGCTGCCATTTGTTGGTTTCTGGTTGACATACAGTTAAAATAATTAGGTGCATTTTAAGCGAACACACTATCTAAAATGAGTATACCATTAAGGAAAGATTATGAGGCCAGTCTATTCAGGTGCTGATGCTAAGCTAATATATAATATATACTTCACAACATAGGCTATTAGGATTGTCAAAACAATCAGACCTCGTATCCAGTAGCTGGGTAATATTAAAAACACTTTTTTTTTTTTTTCTATAGTTTTTTATTTTTAAAAAACTACTTTCTATTGACTTAAAAGGTGTTCTACCTCCATCAGTCTTCCCTAGAGCAGCTGTGGCTACAACAATATCTTACCACCACTGAGTATGGAGTGAAAAAAAAATGACTACAGTGTAGTGCTTTGAGAGGCTTTGACAAGCCTGGAAAGCGCGATACTAGTGTAAAGCATTATCATCATCATGAGTTTGAGGATGTGTTCATTTACTTTTAAGGAAGCACATTATTCTTGAGTTGAAGTGAATACACTATGTTTAAAAAGTGAATTTTCTGATTGTTTCTTTTCCAGGGCGTGGTGACAGAGGCCTCTCCCCAGACAGCTCCCTCTTCACAGAACGCCAGCGGACAGCAGCCTTTATCAGTGGAGAGCACGGGGGACCACACCACAGCCTATTCTTACCAGCAGACTAAGTGCGTATAGACTTACAGAAATACTACCCCAGCAATGACGCTCAATACTAAAGAGATGGGGATCAGATCAGCTTTATTACATTATGTGAAATGCAGTTGGATGCTGAAGACACGAGAGGTCGTGCATGTTTATTAACCCTAAAATAGAATCTTCCTACAAATAAACATTTTAAGGGTGTAATAACAGTGGAGGGAAGAGTACATTTTTACTCAAGTAGTATGGTTACAAAGTACAGTTACAAGATAAAAGTATTTTAAAAAGTGTTTTGAACCACAATCCTGAAATTTACGTAGACAAGTACAGCAGGATAAATCATCATTTATCACTGACTTCAGCCTAACAATCAATACAAAAAAATATGTGTCTTACAGTTCTTATGCTGCTGGTGTCCTCTCAGGGATACTGCTTTACAGTAGTCAACAAAATCCTTTAAGGCACTGTACCTGATTTAGATTCTTAACGTGAACAACAGAACTAGTTATTTTTAACTGGTTTGTGGACTGACAAATAAAATTAACAAATAAAACACATTTCTATATATTTCCAAAGATATTAGGCAATACAAAATGACATTATCCCGTTTGCTCCTCAATAGAGTTGGAGGCACAATGAAAGTTAATGGAAAAGAGCTTGTCAATGAATGATATATACATTTTGGTTGTAATATAGATGTCATGTCACATTCCTGTTCTCAATAGCCTCCAGACAAGTCGCCTATAGCAATAACGATAAAATCATCTCAGAACTGGGACACTGATTAAACGTTGAACCTTGTTTTGTCTCTTAGATAAGTTGAGGCTGGTGAGGCTCATTGCTGCATTGCCCTCAGAAGGACTGCACTGCACTGGTGACCAGGGGAATCAAAAAGAAACAGTGACAAGGACAATGTTGAGAGGAGAATGCTTCCACTGTGCACAAACACAAGACAAAAATGAAGAAAAAAATGTTTCTTATTTGAAGAAAATTTAGGAAAAAAGAAACTGTTTGCTGAACTGTTGAACTTTGCAACTTTTTATCATTTCTCATCAAGAGACTTTGGATGTTGCCTCTATGAGAAGACAACTTCACTAGAATCTGTACAGAAAAAAACGAACATTTGAATGTCCAGGTAGATTTTCAAGACTTTTTTATTAAATTCAAGAAAAAATGGAAAGGGGACACAGGCAGCAGTCTAGAAAAACAAAGGTCGTCTTCCTTTCATATGAAGCTGCATCATCGTTTTTATGATTTGAGTAGTTTTTTAGAATATCAATGTTTTGGTAAATCTTTATTGCCTTAATTTTCTGAAATGCTGGGAACAAGAGGTTTCCCTTTTTTGTGTTTGACAAAAACAGTATGATTAAAGAAGAGCAGCGAAAAGCTGACTGTACAGGCAAAAAGGATGTGTTTGTAAAGAGGACTTTTAAAATTTAAGAAAATCTGGGGAAGAGTGCTGCTTCCTGCAACTTCATGGACATGTGTTATTTCCCATGCCATTTGTGCTTGCTTTTGTCATCCTTTGCTTGCCGTACCTTAAAACATTTTGCTTTGCCTGCATTTTACGTGACAAGCATTTTTCACTAAAAGCCGAAAAAACAGCTAGGATTTTTCAATGTGCAAAAAAGCAATAGTTCTAGTAGAGGCTGATCAAGTGCAGCCTACAGGTGGCATATTTTATACCAAAGACAAAGAAGCTAGACATTGAAGAGCTCTTCCTTATTTGCTTTTTCACTTGTTTTTATGTTATTCTGTTGTGGGAGATATCTAGGGACATGCAGTAGGTCTTAATATACAAATGCCTCAAGATGTTTTCATGCAATCAGATGTAAGCTGGTATTGTCTGAAAATAGTAGAAAAAAGTTATCATTGGTGTCTAGTTTTACAGTTGTAAGCAGCCAAATCACAAGCTTAATGGACTGACTAAAATGCTGTTTCTAATTATGACAGCTTAATTGAGTTATGTAATGTGATTTCATGTCATGATGCTTTAGGCTGCTGTGCGGACCAACATAAGCCATTTGAAATATGAGCAGGGATCTCTCTCTGCAAAAGAAAAAGGGCATTTTTGTTCAGATCATTTCAGCCAATCACAAAGATGTTTACTTTTATGTTGATGTACTTCTGTGTAAGCTGCTAACACAACTTTTTGGTGTTGGGGGTCAGTTGCGTAGTTGGGGGCACATTTTTTATGCAGATTCCCTTAAAAATTGTTAACAAATATTATTGAAAAAAATTAATGCATAGAGGTTTTTCCTTCTCTACCACGCCCCGTCTACTCATCATACACCAATGACAGGAAGCTACTGGATGTTATGGAGTCAAACTATCATTCAACCAAAAGTGGGAAGATACAAACATCTATTGAACAATAAGTTATTGAAAGTTGAGAGTGAAGTAGAGAGGAAATGCGAGTAGTATTTATGAGATTTTTGTACAGGTGTGTAAAAGAAGATGCAACAGAAATAACTTTGATGATGCTATTTTTTTATTTGCTTGGTCACATGCCTCCCATGTCTTTCAAGTTGTGATTTTGAGAGTGTCTGTAGAACCAGTGGATATTGCTGTAGTTTGAAATGTCTATTTTGTTTCATTTTTGTTTTCTTTTTAGACAAATCTTTCAATAAAAATGTTTCAAACAGTTGGCATTCATAGATCCTGGATGCTTCAGGTCCAGTTTATGTCCACTAGATGGCACCACTGTTAAGTTGATTTTTTTGTTGTTGTTTTTTTAAAACACACAGTATCTTCTGTTGTAATGGATTGTATTTTTATTTTTTTTTACAGTGAGTCATACTTAGGAATCATACATACAAACCACTACCTTCACTTTGAGAAGTGGCTCTTCACTAGTATTGTTCATCACTCTGCTGGAAATGTAATCAGTACTCACAACAAACAACTTTCCTCCAGTCTATAAACATACTTACACATGCGGTTTGTATGATTACAAGAACTTGTGAGCTTTTGTTTTAAAAAATATTTAGGGTCAGTTTTATTCAGTACTTGTCTTTGCTTCAGGCAGATGGTAGGAATGTTTAGACTGGTAACAAGATACAGTTAAACTACATACACGGAAGCTTAGACTAGTTCTTCATACATGCTTATAACAATTTAAAAGAAATGTTTTCATAGGATTCATTGATTCATTTGATCTCTGTTGATCCCAATGCTATGAATGTTGTATTGTTATTGTATAGAACGCAGAAGAGATACAGCAATTACCAACAGTACACAAACATAACAGACAAATGAGCTCCCCTGAGCTGCGTTCATTCATCCAGATAAAATGGAGTCAAAGGAGGTTTTATCACTAAAGCACTATCAAATAAGTGCAACATCCTGTAAACATCTAGTCCCTTTTGTTATGGATAATGCCAATCTATTGAAAAAGATCCTTTCAATCAACATCCCTGAGGTATCATAACTTAAAGTTATATGTCAGGACCTTTTAGTACATGCCACTGCAGCGTTGAGCCTTTTCTTTTCCTTTGTTCCTTTTCTTTGCAGGATCTCAGTAGCAGGTGCGCACACAGAAGATGAAGATGATCACAAGCGTTATAATGGTGAGGGCTGAGAATAGAAATATAAGTCCAGCAAATAGAGGGTTTGACATGGGGAAGTTCTCATTCACGTCAGATGGGATCATATTAGACAGACTTAGCATGTAGCCTAAACTCCACCCGATGCTCGTCTTCTTTATCTGTGAAAGAAAATAGAAGATTAAGATGTTTTTATTAAAATAATTAAATAATAATAATAGATAATAATACAAATTTTGTAATATTATCAAGAAATTTTCTATTTCAGGCAATGTTTCTTGAGTAATAATGGTTTCTTTAAATTACTCAGAATTGACTCTTGTGAGCTTTAAGCCATGTTAGAACATTGTTACTTCATCAAAAACATCCCTGGAGTTGTGTTTTTGTCATTTAGACATGTTATGACTAATTGTGCATTATTAGTCTGTCTACCTCTCCAAAGATCAAAATGCTCTGTTCCACTTTGTGATGCCATGAAGTGGTAGTTTTCAACAGCTCCTTTTACCTTTAGTTCTGTAGAGAAAACACAGTGGAGCACTTCCTGTATTACTACATGACATCACAAGAGTGTTTTCTGTTTGAGAGAAGAACTCAGACTAAATATGCAGGATTTGTGTGTTAAACATGACACGTGAATGATACAAAACACATCTCTGGGTAAGTTTTTGATAGCAAAACAACATTACAACATAGAAAATATTGGCCTTTTAATAATAGTAATAATGTAAAAGTATGACATTATATAATGTGTTTTTCATACTAATTTGATAAAGATGCAATTACATTTTAGCATTTTGATTCCAGTAGAAAAAATATTAGAAAATTATTCCCTTTCTATAGATATTTTTTGAGACTTGTTTTGAAGTTCAATTTTTTTTGCCAATTCTCCCAAGTTGTATACAGTTACATCAGTGGAAAGCATGAGTTATGGCAGAGAAGAATGTAGTGCACTTCACAAAGGGCCTATCAATCACGAGTCACACACGCCTTGCTCTTAACACTAACCCTACTGTTGAGGATCGGAAAGTGGACCTTTGCCAGCTTCAGTTGAAAGATCCAGCCTCCTTTGGAACTAAATGTCGTGTCATTTGAAAACGGCGTCTGAGGAGTTATTTTTGTGAGTCATGACTGAAAGACAGGGAACCCCCCCGAGCTGAGGGGACTCCTTTGTCTTATCTGCACGCTGTCCTCGGGGCATCCTGCTGCCATGAGAGAAATCTCTGGCTTTTGGCGCACAGACGGTTTCTGCAAGTGCAATGGGTGGTCCTGTTCCCATGCATAGTGTGCTAAATATGCAACTGTGAATGGGGTTATGGTGAGATCCTCAAACTGTCACCTACAAACTGTTGCTTTGTTCCATGTGACAGAGGCAAGAAACCATCTGTAGCAAATAGTAAAAGAAGAATGTACCCAATTTTCTGCTTCAAGCCATTTCACACTGTTGCTACCTCATCAAAAACATACCTGGAGTTGTTTTTTTCTTTCATTCACACTTTCGAATAATCCTAGTTTATCCTGATCTGTCCACATCTCCATCTTCCATCCTGGTATGTCATGAAGCAGTCATTTTCAAATTAAGAGCTACCTTTTACCTTAAATTCAGTAAAGCTTGGCCATTTCAGGGCTGGAATAATCCAAATGGTTTTAGTGAAGGTGTATGGCATTTCAAAACACAGTAGAGCACTTCCTGTGTTACGACATGACATCACAAGGAGGAACAGAGTGTTTTCTGTGTAAGAGAAGAACTCACCCTAAATATGCAATAAAATATGTGTGAATGAAACAAAACTCCAGGTATATTTTCGATGAGAAAACAACATTAAAACAAAAATCTGAAAATATCGTAATATGAGCTCTTTAAAGCTACAACGGGCGTAAACTCTTTGACCTAATGTTGCTTGTAATTCCAACTGTTTGTTGTTCACACAGAATCTTAATAAAACCACAATAGAGAAATATCTGACCGAAAAGCCAGATTTTACCTCTTTTTCAAACTGTATGTTTTTCCAGGTGTTTTTGTCAAACTTGTAGCCTTCTTCCAGTAAGAAAATGACATAGTGACCTGAGTAACAGTAAGTCCTCAGAAATCTATCCGAGATCCACGTCTTTTCTTTCTTCAACTGGAAGACACAGAAAAGCCATAGTTTAAAAGAATATTTAATTTGTAATGTCCTTAAGCAGCCAAAATGGCACAATTAACAATGACAACATTCCTGAAAGTAAGTCACTTTCAATAGAATATAATATTGTGATTGAAGAGATTGTGAAGAGATTGTGGAGATAATTCTTAATTAATAATAAGACATTTTGGGGGACTAACATACCTGTGCCCAGGACGTGTGGCAGAATTTAGTTACTGCGTTTTTAAAGGTGTCAAGGTCTTCACTTCCACCAATAGCTCTGGCTGTAAAGAAGAGTCCAGCATACGCCTAATCAAGAGAGAGGAATAAGTGAGTCTTCATGTACACCTTCATATGAGGGGGATTTTCTTCATTGTTACCATGTATTTTCCAACGACTGGCGGCTGCTCCACGCCATTGAAAGAGCAGTGGTCTGCATTGCATGTGTCAAAGTCAAAAATGGTTCTGACAAACTTTTTACATTCTTCTGAGTCTCCTGATCCCACCATGAAGAAGTCCTGGTCCAGGTTGTATTTCCCTGGTATCTTTGTGCACGGTGAGTCGTAAATGTCTGATGCTTTCCGTGTCATATTGTAACCATTTGGATAGCAAGGGTTTACAATAAGATTTGGGTCAGATGATTGCTAGAAAAGAATAAACATCATTCATTTCAAATGATTTTCAAACTTTTAACTGATGGTCAGTGTGATTGCTGTCTGTATGTGTAGACAGTGGACAGTATATCCTTTCCAGCTATGGAAAAAGAAACAAGAACATTTTTCTGGGTACAGATTATAGAAGGAAACCAGAGTTTGCTGTTGCACTCTGCTATTGCCTATATAATTATAACTTTATTTATTGCATTTAATTGATTAAGACTGTAGATCAATTAAAGTTTTGTATACTCCATTACAGTTCTAATCTCTCTCAGTTAGTTATTTTAGGTATTTGGCCCAAAATCACACCACACAATTTGACATGCTTATTTAAATTAATTGTCTTGAATCTGGACTTTTTGTCATGCAGTATTAACCATCCAAAGTCAGTCTTTACATGTTAATTAGTGACATTCAATTGCCCACAGAGGGTCATTTTGGAAACAGATGATTGATTTACAGTCTAATTAACTTTAGTTTGTTCAAGGATTACTTTCAAGGCAAAGACTTCAGTCATCCATCCAGACTGACTGTCCTCGTGTCCATTATTAATGCATGTGCTGTGAAGATGTGCTGGAGCAGTATTCTCAGACAAGAATGCTTAACATTCACTGGGCGATCAATACTCTTAATAACATAATGCATTCTTCACTTGACTGTGTTGCTTATTCACAGCACAGGATGAACATTGTTCACTAATCAATTCTCAATTAGGCATTAATGGATTTTCGTCTATGTGCTCTGTCTGCAAAGCAAGTGCTTATGAAGGCTACTGTGGTATACTACAGTAAATGTATCTTAACCCAAGGGGGACACTGCATACATCATTTTACCTGAATTATTTTATCCAAGATCTTTTTCCCAACTTCATTTTTGCCATAGCAGAGGAAGCTGTGTGTGTACACATTGTAGGTGTAGCCGTACAGTTTGATGTTCAGGTAATCTTCTCCAGTGAAGTTCTCTCCTACAGCGAATGCTATCTGTGTGGAGGCACCACCCAGGTCCATGGATCCAACTGTCTCTCCTCCTTCTGGTCTCACATATTTGTTCCACATATTTTTCTGCAAAAATAAAGAAATCAATTAGGCACACACATGTATTCCTGCCATGCCCAGAATAAAGTATTGGAAGTCCTGTCCTGTCCCGAGTCTTGTCCTGAACCTAAATTCAACACATGTTAAAACTTTTATACTATGATCAGTGTGATTTTTCATTGAACTGATAAAAGAGAGAGAGAGAGAGAGAGATACAGTATGCCTACAGTTTTAGTTCTGATTCAGAAACATACATTATCATGGAATTCAGATTTTTGTTTCAATATTGCAGGCCTTTTCTCACTTTCAATATAGAAACTCAAACATGACAGCAAAAAAAAAAACCTACAATTTGTAAGCACCCAAAATCTAAAAACAAAGGATTTCAGGCATGTGTCAAGCAGGAGAAGTGTCTCAGCAGTGAGTACAGACTGTATGAATATAGAGACTACATACATACACATACTGTAAGATGTTTATACATGCACATGGTTTCACTGGCTAGGCAAGAGATGAATGATGTTCTATTAATTTACTGTAGTTAAAATACTTTTTTATCTACTTCTACTTCTAAAACAATGTACAAGGTAATATACAAATAATATTGCAAAGCAGCTCACTACATTTGTCCTGTAAAATAAAACAAGATATTTACAGTTCTGTTGAAACTATTTGGCAAAACTTTTCATACATCTCTCAAATCTTGTGCGCACCACTTTGTGGTTAAAATACAAATGCAGATTTATGAACTTATCTAACCATTATCCAGACATTGTATGCTTCTCCACTTAATGTCACATATAGTGTGAGAAAGGGAGTCAGAGACCTGTATGACCAGTGTCACTTGGTTTCTGATGGTTTGAGAGAGGTAAATGCTGCAAATATGTGTTGCAGTTTCTTTTGTTTTTGTTTTTTTCACTTGCTTTTGCATATTTATCTACTGAAAATTGACATTTGCAAAACTGCTCACATAAAATCCTAAACAGAATTTTTGTTTTCCAAAACAAAATTGAATCTGAGCAAAATGCAGTTTCACATTCAAAACTGATAAATCATCCAACAAAAAATACTCATTTGGTCACATGTTTATCTGTGCTTCATTTGAAAGTGTAGCTCAGAAGTTTTAGTCCTGCTCTTAGTGACCACAGAGAATCACTGGTTTAACGCACTACAATGGGGTTCACACTTTAGACATATGCATATTCATTTGGACTAATTAAATGGTGGGATTTATTTTCAAAGAGGAGCTGTCTGTGTCATATACTCTAGTTGTCCTCAAATGTTCAGAAGGGCATCTGTATTGTTGCATCACACATGGTCTGACATGTACAGCAAGTGTGTTATAAACTAGGACTACTCATGTGAGAAGAGAGCAGTGGGGAGTGTGAATAAAGTGTAACAATGTGGTGCATGGCCATTTATGATTTGAGATAATGAGATTATATTAAACGTGCCATTACAGTTGTATTCAGGTGTTGATGGTGAACATATGCCTGGTCTTTCTCACTCGGTGTGACTGTTCACATGATTGTATCGATCAGATGACGGTTTGTGATGAAGAAGCATGCAGAAACTTGCCAACGCCCTTTCCTCACGCATGAATAACTGTTTGGTTCAAAATGTGTGCAGCTCGCCCTGCCTCATGTGCTCCTCTGCAGGTGTGTATATGAGCTGAAAAGTGTACAGTTGCTTTGGCATTTTTATTTATAGTTATTTATTTGCAAATATAAATGTCTAAAGGTCTAAGTCTCAAGAGCTTATATGATCAGTGATCATGTAGGTTTCTGAATGAGAGCCTGAAAACGGTGTAAATTGATGAGAAATGTTCCAAATCACTAGACCACCTAAGCCCTTGTTTAAATAAAACTTTAGATCAAATGCTCAAACTAAACCAACCCAAAAAATGTGCTAAAACTATTGAAAAAAAAAAAAAGTAAAAATTGCACAATTATTTAGGGAACAAAAAAATATGGTGTAATATTTTAGAGAACAAAATTGTACACAATTTTCAGAAAAAAAAATGTGTGTAATATTTTAGGGAACAAAATATTACCATCATCATTTAGGAAAGAAATTGTTCAATTTTTGTTCCCATTTGGAGGGGAGGAGGGGACCTGGTTCACACAGCTTTTTACGATGGAAGTCTTTTATGCTGTGATTCTAGTGCTTTTGTGTCGGTCTATAAAATCTCTTCATATTGTGATTGCTGTGTTTACTGTTGTCATTTAAGTCTTTGGTCTATGGACTTTAGTGAGACTGTGCAGCATTTAGGTACACAGACTATAGCATGTGCAGACAGAGATTTACATCTGCAGTCTGTGTTTAAATAGTTGATTGTTGTGTTTCAGGTTCTGCAAAAAGTGTTTTGAGAGTTAAGGCTTGAATATTGGTACATTATTTGCTCCTTTAGTGGAATATTTTGAAAATTTAGGTAGCAAAGCTTTTGAAAAAAACTGTAACACATCTTACAGTGTGTATATGTACGTAATCTCTATATTCAAACAGTCTATACTCACTGTTTGACAAATGTGTGAAGTTTTTTTGTTCTTAGAACTTGGATGCTCACAAATTGCAAATTGCTTTTTTGCTGTCATGTTTTTATAATGAAAGTGACAGTGTTTAGTCCAAAGTCCTTGAATGTGTACGAACAGGCCTGTAGTACTGAATAAACAATCTGAATTCCATGATCATGTATGTTTCTGAATGAGAGCTGTGTGCTCAGAGAAAGAGCCTGAGAACTGTGCAAACTGATGAGAAATGATTTGACCACTGATTGTGGAGATACGGTACATGTTTATATCAAATGATCAAACTGAACCTAAATTTCAAAAAGAAAAAAAAAAAAAGAAAATCCAGAGTTACTTTTTTAAATGGTGTAGGGATGGCCTACCTCAAAAAAGTTCTCCAGGATGTAGTTGACTGTGATCCAGCCGTACAGACCTTCCTCCTGTCCACTGATGATGGAGGCATTTTGGAAATTGAAAGGCAGGGCACTCAGGTACTCTTTGAGACTCTCCATGATTTCCATGGCCCTGGATCTATTGCTTTCCCTTTAAAATTAATTTTTAAAATGTAAGATTCCTTGTACATAATAAGTCTAAAATGTTTGCTTCCGTGTGGCAAATAAAACTGTATTACTCTAGCAATCTCATCCCGGCTGTTGCTCCCAGAAATAGAGGAGTCTTTTTACGCTTTTCTTCAGGAATGGCTTTGGTGATGTTAACCATGCAGGCATTGAAAGCTTTCCATGAAGCAGCATCCTTCTCCGGATCAACTTTCATCTCTGAGATCCCATCACCTGTAAGCACAAGTCTAAAATCAAATCTCACAGCCCTGAGGTGAGTACACAACATACTGTGATTTAGAAAAGAGAGAGTTTGAAATGCTTTAATTGTAAACGATCACTTACCTGCGACCTTGCAGTTCATGACTTCTTTCACCATCCCTGTTTCATTTTGCTTATCTCCAGGCCACTCATACAAGTAAATGTTTGAACGAGACGAGCCAGAATCTATCACTATGCCATACTATAACAGAAAAGGGGACAAACGTTAACAGTTAGGAAAAGTGACATAACCACATTAGGGGCACCATTTAATTGGACTGAGTCATGAGGGGACCCCTTGTCAGCATCTGGATAACATCTGTGCTCACATTCCTTTACCCAACATGACAACATTAGATCCCCCTACCTGTCTCTAACCTCAGTTTATAAATAGTTTTTAAAATGTACAAAGTACTCACCTCCATGTTGTATGAAATGAAGCTCCATTTGTTCTGGATGACAGAGACAGCGATCAGAGCCGCGATGCTGCCCAAAAGGAGAAACAGCACCAGAGCGATTCGACACTTGTATCCAGTGGAGTCTTTAGAGGCCATTTCCTGTTGATGGAAAATGAGGTAAGCACATTGGTTCTCCCTAAAAGCCTTGCACTCATAATAACAAAAAATAAATAAATATATATAAGAAGGAGTAGAGAGTGAGCCATAATAGAATTATCTGTAAACTAAAAGCCAATTACAGAATGCCGATGGTGGGTAAAAGGTTTATTGATCTATTTTGTAGTTTATTTGTTTAAAGTTGATTGCAATTTGTTAAAATCAGATTTTATTAATCCAGCCACACAAGGTCTCAAGAAAGATAGTTACGCCACCCGTATTTCTTTGTAAAAGCAAAGTTTGTAAGGGGAATGACATTTACCAAAACTTCTGACAATATGATAACTAAAGAAGAGGAAAATATGTTATAATAAATGTTAAATACCATTTTATTTCCAACTTTTACATACATTTTTGTTTGCATTTCAAAATGACTTTTCCATGTACATGTTAATGCTACAGTTATAATAGCTTTCTCATTGAGTACTCATTCTGGAAGCTGTTGATGCTACTCAAATATACTTGAAACATCCACAACCTGTCCCAAACTGAGAAATAAACATTCTTGTAGATGGTTTCTGTTTCCTGACTCCCGACTTCATGTGAGCTTTGATGAGAACAGATGGTCATGCGTGTCCAGATGCACTTGTTCAACCATGTGGTTCCACTTGTGAGTACACAGCGGTGAGCTTGAAGCGTAAAGCTGGTCCTTGTGTTTCAACATGATTGGGCACCTTTTTGGTCATTTGCAAAGCATGGACGGTACAATAATGTCATTCTTGTGAGAGAAAAAGTTTGGATGCTTGCCTTTGCTTTTCTGCAGGTATTAGTCATGTAATTTTAAGGATTATGTAACAAAGCTACGCCTTTTTCCATTCTTTTTCCTTTTACTTTTCAATATGCATAGCCTCATCTTAAACCCATAAATCCTGATAATAATAGTGTATGGGTCACATGATGCGCTGCGAATGCACTTTTTGTTGTCATGGATACTTTTCGAAAACAAGCAGGCAGGTCAGGACAGGCAAACTGTGTTCACACATGTCAATAATTATGTCTGACATATTTATATTACAACTTTACTGCTGTATTCAACACTGTAAATTTAAAATGCATTGGCTTTCTTGTCATGATGCCCTTTTGAGGACAGCACATAACTAGTGTAAATACAGTTCAGAAGGCATGTGGCACTCTGTAAGCCCATTGATCTTTGGCTTTGCTGGTGACTCCTGGTCTGTCTTTAAAGTCGCTGTGTCCTGCTGACTCTTATTGACTTCATAGGAGTGCATTTACCAGAAGCTGCACACTGTCTGTTTGCAATGGATGATGCAAACTGTTTGCCAAAACTTAAACATGTCAGTCAACTTTGGTTTTACCGAACCATAAACCTTATTGTTGTCTTATCATATAATATTTACCCAAACTGTGTAATGGTGACTTTTTAGGCACTATAAAACATCCATTACAGATATATTAAAAGCAAATTAACAAAAACATAAAACAAAATATGCTGACAATAAAAACAATAAATAACTAATGTCTTCCTTCTGTTTGGGGTGGGCAATATTTCCAAAATGTATGCTGATAACAATGTTCTGATAATATTGTGTCAATCTAACAGTTTTAGTTGTGGTTAAAGTATCAGACAAATGTGAAATTCCTCACAAAAAAACATAAATATAACTTCCTTATTTGGAACACATAAACATTTTTAGTTTCAATCAGCTCTTTTTGCTGAATTTTATATTTTATATTATGAACTCAGGACTTAATATTAACATGTTTCTAAAACATTTTCAAAACAACATTCACAATATTGTCAATATTTTAGTAGTATTGTCTAATTTGCATATTAAAAACTGAATTTAACGTGGTCGTGGCAACTGTTATTTATCTGCCTCCAGGTTTGCATATTGTTTTAGCAATTTGCATCCGTATGGCTTGGGACTGGCACTGAGTCACTCTTACTACTTAAACAGCAACAAATTGCCTTTTGTAAATCAATAATTGTGTATCATACTGTACTGTAATTGTGAGCTTTAAGCCATTTTACAATGTGGTTTCCGCATCAAAAACATACCTGGAGCTGTGTTTTCTTTCATTCCCACATGGTGAAGTAACCCTTTATTAGTAGTCTGTTTACATCACCAAAGCTCAAAATGCTCTGTCCCACCTTGTCATGTCATGTAATGGTAGTTTTCAAGTTAACAGCCAGCTTTTATCTTTTGTTCAGTGGAGATTGACAATTCTAGACCTGAAAACATCCAAATGATTCTGTAGGTGTATGGAGTTTAAAAACAGAATGGAGCATCTCTTTTATTATCACATGACATCATAAGGTGGGAAAAGTGCATTTTCTATTTGAGAGAAGCTCTCTGTGGCCTAAATATGCAGGATTTGTCTTAAACATGCGTGAATGAAACAAAACACAGCTCCAGGTATGTTTTTGATGATGAGGAAAGAACATTATAACATAGATCAGAAAATAGCATAAAATGAACCATTTAAAAGGACAAGTCAGTGCGATAAAAGTCCTGATGCCTTGTCACTATAAACACCAACATTATTTGTCTGCACATAGTGATCTGTGCATGTAGAGACTAGCCCAGCACAGGTACAATAGTGTGGCATGGTAGTACTAACTCTGACTCACTGAATGAAATAATCTGTTACCATGCAAAATAGAAGACAAACGACAAAATAAAATAAAAAGGCATTCAAGAACAGTGAACCTTGCAGAGCTGGTGTGTGGACCCCCTGTTTTTGGCGTTCAAAGATAGACCTGCACTCTGAGTGTGTAGTGAGTGAGAGGGATGTCAAGAATGACCAGCCCACATGCACAGGAGTCTTGTAACCCGGCAGCAGAGAGGGCGTGCTGGGAACGGGGGTGGAGCTTATGCACAAACCCCAATTTAAGACACGCCCACGCTAACCAATATGGGTTTCTTGTGTCTATTAGAAAGAACCAGTGATGTGAGAGGAGAGTGCTCATGATGCTAATTAATGGTCAGTGGAGTGTATGAGGAGGAGATGCGTGCTGGAGGCTCTGTAGGCCCAATGTGATGTTAGACTTTCGAATAGCAACATTAGACAGAGGTAATCGTGTGATCAAATTGAAGGTGATAGCTTTAATAATTGGCACATGGTTACTTACATGATACTTGTTTGTGGTTGTAAAAGAAGAAGAATTACAATCTCTTAAGAAAGAATGATATTGTCCCTGCATTATTTTGTTGCTGTTGTTTATATTTTGAGTTGGTTGAACAGGGCAGCTGAGACTGTGCACACTCTGGTCTCTTGTCTTGTTGAAGCTTGTCTTTGGTTAGATTTGCATTATAAAAACCAGTTTAAGCTCCTGACTTTATCATTTTTGCTACGAGCCAAGCCATTGCTGACAGTTGCCCCAGTGGGATGGGTGAAATTTCCAAATGGTTTCTTTATAATTATAATGCAAATAAAAAGACTGGTATGATGGTGTAACAGACTGTGGTGGAACATAAAAAATGTAAAGTGAAGTATAAATTTTAGGTATCTATATTTTTACTTAAGTAGATTTTAACGTGGATATTTTTTAGAGCAGGTATCTGTACTTTCTACTCCACTACATTCTTGAACAGGATTGAAAAGTAAAACTTTTTTTTTTTGAATGATAGTTTGAGACCTTGGTTGGATTGTAGGCTCAGGAGTTACTTTTCTTAGTTCCAGCAAAAAATACACAATATTCAAATAAAAACAGCTAGAATAAATTGTTTCTACTGAATAAAATTCAGCACAAATCATGATCAAAATCACTACATTTGAAGCCTCATAAGATCTCCAAATTTGTTCAAAATACTTTTACTCTTTAAGTGCATTTTTAAACGGGTATTTTAATACTTTTACTAGATTCTAGAAGTAGATTTTTTCATTTTATTTTTACTTGAGTATTTTTTGTTCCAGTATCTGTACTTTGATTTAAGTAACAAAATTGGTTACTTTTTCCACCACTAGTAGTAAGTAGTGCCAACTTTCAGTTCGTATAGTATGGTTAGTTCAAATACAGGACATGACAGCCAACAGGATACAGTATTTACTTAACATAATAATTTTCCAAACAATGTGTTTCTTATCACCAAAGTGATCAAACAACCTCTTGAGTTAACAAGTGCAGCATACTTGAAATTTGGCACTACTGTTTAATAAACCATACATTATTGTCAAAAAATATTAATAATATTATCTTTTATCTGAATTTGGCCATGTGCCTCTCTTTTAACATGTGTAATAGTAAAATCATCAACCCAGTACACAGTCACAACTAGATACTGAAAAAAACTACATAGGACAGTTCCTGAATTGTTAAAGAATAAACAAATTGACATGTTACTCCCCCAGCATGCAGGTTTGTTTAAATACTTAAAAACTTAAAATCCCTTTGTATATTTCCCATGACAAATAGACAAGACTGCTTGGAGGAGCTTAGTGGGTACTAAGTTCTTCAATGGGGTGCTTACTTAACATGTTAAGCCTTTTATGGTTGCCACCCCCACCATGTTTGTTTTGCTGTTTAAAGTTTAAATGTAGGCCTAGTTTGCACTGTTAGTGATTTATAAACACCAGTATGGAGTTCTTGTTTTATTGTAGTCTCATTTTGAACTCTTAGTGCTTGCCATTTGAACATTTTTAGTTAACATTGAATGTCCTATGAAAATGGGACAAAATCTGGGTTTTTTTGTTTTTGCTTTTTTGTCGGGGGTGGGGGCTAGTGCCCCCTCAAGCCCACCCTGTTTCCACCCCTGCACAATTTGTATCAGTGATTCTAGCAGCTCTGCAGACAACACTCTACTGGCATGTATGAAACAGCAAATTATGGACTTCAATTTGGACCGCTTCCAGCGCACTGATCTCTAATTGTGTGTGTCTCTGAACCTGGGCTTTCTAATGCATTAACACCCCGATGAGTCCCAGCTGCATCAGGGAGAAAATGTAGTAGCACTATTGTGGCCAGATCTATTAGAACCAAAGCACTCCCAGTCCACAGAAAGAGACAGACACTATTCAGTTTGACCATTTGGTCTTCCTCTTTACATCATTAGCCTATTTGACCTTACTTTTTACATCATTAGTCCTCTTTGGGATTAACCAGAAAACATTTGTGTGTTATTTTCTGACCATGATATGCCTAAAAATCTGCCTGGCAGAACTGTCTCTCCTACTTTTTGTTTAAATGCTGGAAGGTCCAGAACCAGACCATAAAGCATAAAGCAATTTTAATTTGTAGCACGTGTCTCAAATGTGAAAGATATCCTTATATCCTTGTGACATTCAGAACAAATTATAGAACTTCTTTTACTTTGTACACATAAGAGTTTAATGCTTTGCTTGTTGATTCTTCCACTCTCCAGTTTTCTAGATCCCAGTGTCATGATTTTGATTTATTGTTTTGAGGCTAGTGATAATAGTGAAATTGGATCATCGCCATAGTATTTAATAGTTAATTACAACATCTTTTTCAATAGTAAAAACTGAAACAATTTGCTGCATCTGAGATTGGTTAAATCTGCCTGCATGTAACTCACTCTGAATTAAGACCTGGCAATAGTATTCAATTTCTAAACAGAATATATCATTGTAAGAATCAGATCACAATTTCATTTCAAGAAGTGCTTGTCTTGTCAAAGCCTGCAATAGGTCCTCTCATCCACCACCAGAAATTGGATAGTAAGCAGCAGATGATTTGTTGGGGTGCACCATTAAAATGATCAATGCAATGTGATGACTATATCCATCAATGTAATGGGTCTTGTAGCTGAATTTCATGATGCCACTGCCAAATGGCCATGGACTCTACAAAATGACTTTAAATGTCCTCCTCCTATGTTTACTTTACTCTCTTCCAGTTAAACAGAGCATAGCATGAAGCACCAGTATGTTTTCATCCCTCAAGCAATCTCTAACTGAGATGTCTGGAAGAGATGTTCAATGAGATCATGTTCATTCAAGAGTCAAGTTGTGAAATAACAGTTTTAATTGTAAAATCTGATTACTGAAGGAAACACTTAGTATCATATAGCTATAATTAGTTTTAACTGATAGTTGACAGTATGAAATATTACTGAAAGGCCCTGTATTGCAGACATGACTTGAGATTTCTTAATGTGCTGATGGCTGTTAAACTGTAATGTTTTCCCAGCTAATGTCTCTCAAGTGATAAAGTGTGTTCCAGCATGGAGCTCAATAACCTCAAATGGTGGAAGGAGGGCTTCGATCGTGTGAGCGATCAACAGGACTGACAGACAGACTGTCAGGCCCCTGCTCAGAGCTGAGTGATTTGGAGTATTGTGTCACAGTCTTGTTTATTTTATGAAAATGAAAAAAACACGTGTATTAATATTTTTTACATTAAATGTTATTAACTGGTGGGGAGGAAATTGCACTTATTAGTCATAGAACAACAGCAAAAATACATTTCAGTGTTGAACTTAGAAATTAGAATTTGACTAATATAGAATCCAGAGTAACTAATACCTGAAAAAAGTAACAAAAATATTATTTGACCTGCACAGCCCTGTTTCACTACAAATCACTTTTTGTGCAGTGCCCTTTTCACATTAAAGTGTTGACATAATGATCTGTTGTATGGTGGGGCAAAATAATAATAATAATAATAATAATAATAATAATAATAATAATAATAAGAAAGAAGAAGAAGAAGAAGAAGAAGAAGAAGAAGATGCATTGTCTAAAAAAAATGTTATATTACTGAAGCTCCTGTTTGCCAAGAGCAAATGTTAGCTATGGGAGGGAGCAGGAGAAAATGCTCATAGTCTGAGGTGTGAAAATTTAAATGCGTCTTTTAATAGTGTACACTAGACGACCATGTGGACAGGCAGCAGTTATGCAAAGGTCAGGTCACTCACACTCACACACACACACACACGCAGACACACAGTATATCCGCTGGTGTCAGTATCACTGACATATTTTGGGCTATGTGGCATTGGATGAAACTAACACAGGGCCCCAGTGGCTGCGTGATTAATGGTGACATCTGGTGTGTAAGTAGAGCAAGTGCAAGTCAGGAAGCATTCTTTCACCAGTGTGAAAATGTGAAGGTCCTGTAGTACACAAAATGGATTATTGGGAGCCTTAAACCATGTCAGAATGTTGTCACCTCCTCAAAAACATACTCAGAGTTGTGTTTTGTTTCATTCACACATGTGATTCTGCATTTTTAGTTTGTCTGCATCTTCTCAACTCAAAATGCTGTATTCCACCAATTGATACCATGAAGCAGTAGTTTTCACATGAACAAACTACCTTTAACCTTTATTTTAGTAGAGACTGGCCATTTCAGAGCTGAACTTATCCAAATAATTCTACTTAAGGTGTATGGAGTTTAAAAATACAGTGGAGTACTTCCCCTGTCATCTGCTTATTTTTTTATTTTTATTGTTTAATTTAGTTTGTCAATCTCTTGCATTTATTCACTGCATATGATGATGATGAGTAGTAGTAGTAGTAGCAGTAGTAGTAGTAGTAGTAGTAGTAGTAGTAGTAGTAGTAGTAGTAGTAGTAGTATAATATATTCAAAACATGCATTCTAGAGCATTCTAGATGATACATTTATTTTCTGCTGTTTTGTTAACGATTCTTTTGTATGTTGTATATCTATGTCTGCTGGTATATTTTGCCAGACTTAATAAGAAAAACGTTTTCATTTTTCCAGGAAATTGCTCTGTGCATTTCAGAGATGACATTTCAATCAACTGGCTAACCACCGAGTGTCTGGTAAGAGCAGAGCACATCTTTAATTCATAAGGGTCATGTGTGCAAAGTATGGACCCCTGTAAAAGCATGTTATGTCTCCTGAGCCCAATAGCACTGACTATTATGCAGACTGACTGTGTGACCTTTCTTCTGTGGCATTATTCTCTCAACAACCGCACACAAATGACTGTAGACAAGCTCCTCCTGTTTATAAACTGATGACCGTTTAGCTTTAGAAGCTAACTCTCTGTAGTAAATTTATGATGTAGTATCAGCTTTTAATTCAATAAGGCTGCTGTCTGAGTGATGATCAACTGTGCAAAAAATCACTCAAAGTGAGAGTTATTGGAGAAAAGCAGCCTCTGCACATGCACTAGGCCCTGCCCACCCACTAGCACTAGGAGACCCCCCAAAGCTAATTTCATAAAACAGTTACAAATTTAAACTTAGATATAATAATAATTAAAAAAAGGATGTTTAAGTTGAAGTTAAAATTCTAAATATCCGTGTCAAATATAAAACTCAAACTGTTTTTCAGTTTGACCTCCACAAGAATAAGAACAGCTCTGTATATGTTTAATTTAAATAGCAACTATACATTTGATAAAGAAAAGTCCATTTCAAGTCAAATCTAATCAATCATTGCCCACATTTATTAAAAATAATGACAAAGCAGCAATAGTGACAACAGCTAAGCAGCATGTTATAGTTACACAGTCACAAGGTTAATGGGGTACTTTTTTGTTTTAGAATTTCTATAACTTTGTTGAAGATCTGTGTTTTACTTAAATATGGCATTTGCATATTTAGTCATAAACATTTGTTCTATATTTTACACATTAAGGCCAAAACTTTGCAATGGCAAAAAAAAAAAAAAAAAAAAAAAAAAAATAGAGCACAAGACCCACATGAGAAAAAAAAAAGAAGTAGTAATTGGAGTAGTAGATTGTACATTCCCAGTGAACATAAGACATATACTCTATTTTATAATGACTCTTCATAAATATGTAATAAATAAATAATGCACTTGTTGTAGGGAAACACTTGTAAGTTTTGGTAATGTGGAAGATTCTTGGTCATTTAACATTTCAACCAGTTTACGAACACAATCAATAATTGCATACATACATGTAACAAGTAACACCCACCCATTACATCATGGAGGCTCCCAAAAAATGTAAAGACATAACAAGAGACGCAAGACAATATAACCATAAACATATTGAATTTAAAGCATCTGATAGGAATGATTTTTTTGTTCTGACACTGGGCCTAATTTAGGTCAGATGGCCCCTCGTTTGTCCCAGTGCATGCTGCTTTAGTTGATATGCTCCTGCAGTAGCTCAAAGGTGAGCTGTGTGATGTGCTGCCATGCTTTTTGCACATGGAGAGACTCGGTCCCATGGGCACAGATGCAGAAGCGAAGCACAAAGCGTCCAGAGAGTTGACAAGGCACCAGGTGGATCTGTCGGTCCTTGGTGATCCGCTTCAACAAAGTCTGGTTCAGCTCATTGGAGCCCTGCACAAGCAGACAGAGACAGCAGCGCTCACTCATGTGGTATGTACTGTAGAATATACTGTTCATGATGAAACAAATGGTTTCATTATTGCTACAATAGTGTAAAGTCGTACCTTGATTCTGAAGCAGACCAGGCCCAGCACCACCTCTGCACAAATCTCAAACCTCTTGTCAGCTCGGACAAGGCTCTCAAACTCTTTGGCCAAAGCTATATGCTGTAACAATGAGAAACCAAATACATAAGATTAATCATATTTTTGTAAAGGTAATCATTATGAATTATACCAACATACATTAGCCAATATCTAATTTTAATGCTTGTAATATTTGCTAGGCATTTTGTCTGTAACAACCATAATTTTCCACAAGAGGTGTGATGCAGCTAGTACTGTACTTTTACTACCCCAGAGATTCTGTAAGATTACATCTTTGTGTGGCCTATTACATTCAGTAGATATAATGTATATAATGTATATATGGATTCAACTAACAGTAACAGAAATATAAAAAATAATTATAAGAATGGAACTTCATTTCCACACTTTAAAAGCGTATTCATTAAACCTGAAACATAGCCAAACTGTTTATTGCATTGTGTCCCAAAAAACCCACATTTCCTGCCAGATTGACCACCTCAGCGCTTCCTCATTCTCCGCCAGCAACTCACCCTCACCCAGAGCTTTTTACAAGCCTTTAAACCACAACTAGCTCCTTGTGTATTAGTTTATTGATGCAGTCATAATGTTCACATCATCTAAAATAACATTACTCTATTAAATATAATGGTCTGACGTAACTTATGCACCCAAATAAGGGAAAATGTCTTTCTGCGTATATTCTAATGCAGATGTAAGACCATGTGCGCTAGAGCAGTGTGTTGTGGCTATGCCTGCAGACATCATTTCTACTTCTGCTTGATTTCAAATTGAAAATAAACAGAAAACAGGCTGATTTGATTGACAGGGCCGACTGGAGGGCCGGAAATGGGAGATAAACTGGAACTGACAGCCTCATGGTGAGAATACACACTGGTAGTGAAGAGGTCGGGGTGGATGTAGTGTGTAGTTTTAAATGATAATAGAAAAAAGGAACTAGACTTTGTTGTGACAGATTATCACGATGTAAATAAAAATAAATCAGCTATTGGTCTTCATACAGTCAGACAGTAGATGAGCAAATTTGTGAGGAACACATTACTCCATCTTAACTTTATCTATATTGCATTTTCCATTGTGTGCCGTGTTGTTGTCTTACCTTGCGTATATGAGCCTGCAATTGTTTTATCCCAAATAAGCGAAAGACAAACCACAATTTCAAAGAGCGAAATCTTCTTCCAAGTGGGATCTGCCAATGCTTTGGATAAAAAGACACAACAAATCAAAATGAAACTAAAACACAATTTATGCACTGATTACCCAAGATTGACAAGTAAACATTACATTTTTTATTTAAATTTGATCTTACCCGATAATCTGTAACCAGTCCTGTTAACAATAACAACAAAAAGCAGATCAAATCAAACGTAATTAAAATGCAATTCTTGTTTCTGTTCAATCACACATATTGGGTTTCCATGCTTCTTGGGGGCATTACTGACTTACGTTCATTTCCTGGAGACTGACCCAAACCTAGAGTGACCAGGATAGTCCCAGTTTTGAGTCCTGTCCCAACAGATTTACCCAAAACCAACAATTTGTCACAGTTTTATGCAAAAAATGTCCCAGTTGTCCCCATTATTGACCAAATTGATCCCCACCAACAGTAAAGAGAGGAATATATTGCCATTTGTTTAACTAAAATACAGAAACTGTGCTTGAAAATGACCATAAGGCAAAAAAAAAAAAAAAAGTTCCTTAGATTACGACTGACCCACAAGTGAGTTGAGAATGTACAGCGTCACATGCTTTTTTCACCATTTTATTTATTCCAACGCAAGTGTGTCCCTTTTTTGAATTTTGTAAAATAAATTTGGTCATCCTACCCTGACCTTAACCATACTTGCCAAACCTTAACCTATTTTAAACCATAGCTGAACTTTAAAATATGTTATTATACAGAACTTGGTAATGGTCTAAGAAGATCTACATCATGGGAACTTGATTTTTGTCCCCTTAACGGATTTCCTAAGAACTGAGTAGGCACATTTTTCTTAGCCCTCAGAATGTGATTAAACCTGCCCACAGCCATTAACTAAAATTGTAAGGGTGCATTGACAGATTCTTAGCAATGTATTGAAATAAGGCTGTATTGTTGTATAATGTCCTCATCCAGGTGGCTCTGTCATTCCCTACCCACTTGGTATCTCTGATCAGTGACAGTCCACAAAGCCCTTTGTCCTACACAATCCCACGGCTTGAGCTAGCTCGTCTGTGGAGAATGGAGGGCCCTGTTTGCTGCTGCTAATAACCACTAATTAGATTGAACAGTGTAGAGTATGAGCAGGGCTGTTAGAAGGTGTTTGAGGGGTGGAAAGCTGCTAATTGTCTATCTGTCCGACTGTCCATCAGATAAATAATGGTGGAGCTCACACATCTGCAGGGAAGGACCATGCAACAAGCTCCAGTGGACAGTGTAGCTTATCCGGTACCCATACTTGTATACTAATACTTTTGTTAATTAAATTGGGTCACAAATACTGCAAATCAGCTTAACATACAGTTGGGGAAAGATTAATGCATTAATAATCTGGTTGACACACACCAAGCGATGACAGGCTAGACCTGAGTGTCTGAATGTGATGTGTATTTTATTGTCTATTTTTATAGTCTTTTATAGAGAATTCACCAGTAGTTTATTAAAGTTCAGTGTAGAATCACCTGACTCCTGGTTGTCATGTTTGAGGTAGGTAGGTTCAATCTTGAATGCTCCAATGAGGTCTGCCCTTTTCTTCACCCTGTGGGTAACGACATGGGGTTAACCAATATATTTTGTAATTCATATTAAAAACTTCACAAAAAAAATTTAACTTATCTTAAATGACAAAAGACATACAGACACAAAGACACACGCACACATCTCTATTCAAAATTGACATTTGCTTAACAGTTCATACAGAATCCCAAACAGGGTAAACTATTTTACCTCAACAAAATACAGTTTTACATTCAAAACTGCTAAATCTTCCTCCAAAAGCAAATATTTCAGCACCTAGGCCCCTGTTTAGATACATGCGCTTCAGTCAGTCTGCCCCAGGGCAGATGTGGCTACAATAGTAGCTTACCGCCACCGGGCATGGAGTGAATGAATAATGCTCTGTAAAGCATGTTTGTGACAAATGTGAAAAGCACTATATAAATAAAAACGTACATGTTTGAAACAAACTATCAAATTAAACAAAGTTTCAACAAAAATGTGCTAAAAACAATTAAATAACTGTATTGTTGATAAGCATGTGCATACATAAATAGTGTTGCATTTCTTCTTCTAGATTATAGATTAAAGAAATTGTTCTTATCTTGTGTCCCCTTTATCTGGAAATATAAATAAGGAAGCCTCTTTATTCCTGTTTTATTGTGTAGCTGCTGCTGACAAATGAGGCAGGTGAACTGCGTGGACCTATTTTTACTCTGCAAATGCTAGGTGTAGATGGATGGAGCCCTTAGTGGTGATAATAACTGCTCTTATAGTGATAGTCCTCAGGTACATTAAACAGAAAAAGAGCCACAAATCTTAGAAAAGACAAATAGCATTCCATTCTTAGTCAAAACATACAATATTGAAAAAGCAGAATAGAAAGGAGATCTTTCTTACCACATAGCGGAGCAATCAAAGTTGACTAAAAGCCATTTGTGTGGGTTGAAGTTGAAAGAATCTGCAAACTGAAAATGTAATAATGAGACATATGTGCCACAGATACGACTGCAAGGATGCAATAAAGTTACAGTAAAGTTTGACCCGAAAAATATTTGTCAAGAGTGAATGTTTTGATAGCTATATGTAATCATTGGCTTACTGGTTCATATAGTACCATGATACTTTACAGTAGAGTTTCTATAATAACACTTTCTCCTGCGGTGGTCTTATCGAGACCAAACCTGGTACACTTTATTTGAAATGCAAAAGAGGAGCAAAGCACAAGGCAGCCGTCTCTCCCTGATTTTTTTTCCCCTCTTATAGCTACACCGTTTGTAATCGGTTCAAATCTTTTTGTTGCCCATCTTTTCTCATATCCTTTCTACCCAACCTTCTCAAATGCAATAACACACCACAGAAACAAAGACGGCAGACTCCTGACTGACAATTGTGATGCTGACAGATTCAAAGGCCTGTTGCCCATCACCCATCTCCCATAGCAACGGCCCCTCCAGCCTCAGCAGTCTCCAATCATAGGGTTACTGCTTTATCACCCTATCTCATCGTCATGAATATTACTGCTGTATCACCCCAGCAAACATTTCAGTTACACAAAAACATTAGATAAGAATGAGTACAATTTCAGCAAAACTCAATTTCAAAGACTAATTTTTGCAACAACGTAAAAATGAAAACACAAACCACTGATTATTGAGAAAAATACATGTTGCCACTATTGCCTATGGATACAAGCCAGCTACAATATTGTAAATTTCACTTTAACTACACTATTTAGCTACAGTTTTATTTACAAGAGGATTTGTATAGACAATTGCCGTCTGCTTAATACAACGCTGAGAGGTTTCCTTATACTAGTGATTGTGTCATTAGGGCCCATGTGTTCATTAAGGACAAAAGAGCAAGGCAGTTTTACAGCCAGGATCTGTCTCCCTCCACATTGTTTGAACTTGTGTCTAATAAACAGTGATATATAAAGGTCTAGCTGTGCCTCAGGAAATTATGGTGTCCTTATCTGTTGGTCTGTGCACCCTCTACCGCAGCAGCAGCTGCCTTTCTAGCCTCAAAAGAGCTCATGTGTGCTCTGGAGATTCTGGCCCATCACTCAGTCTTCCACGCATTCTCTGTGGCATTAACATGAGCCCATTTCAAACACTAATAAACCAGCGATACTATCAGCATGCAAAGTGTTGAGCTTTGTAGATAAGCGCAAGCAATTTAAGTTTAATTATTTTCCTGTTCACCTAAAATGTCACGTTAAAGGTGCAATATGTAACTTTTATGATGGAGTGTCTACCTGCTTATTTCTATGGAGATTTTTTATTTTTTTTGCTTTGCCTGAAAACTTCCATAGTATGGCAGCAGCTGAAAGCTCCAGGTCAAATCTCTGAAACCTCTAAAACCTGCTCTGTGTATGATAATTTATTTTAAGTAAATGGATCATAGAATGGTTCTTTAAAAAAAGGTGCATTGTGCAACTTTTCACAGTATGGTATTAAATCTTTTTATCTACATGGAAATCAAACCAGACGAAGTTACATCTCAGATCTGTGGAGAGGCAACCCTGCTCACAGTCAGAATACCTTTTGTTTTTCTAAGCATTTTTGAGTTATAAAACCACATGTAATTTAATAAATGTAAAGTAAAGCTGTTTAATGTCATACTGTGGAACATTCCAAGCAGAGCAATGATATATCCATAGAAACAATCTTAATTAAATAATATATATAATCCCTATTTCACGTCTTATTTCATAGACCTACAGGCAAACTAAATTCTTGAATTTATTTTCATTCATTTTTCAAAAGCTTGTTGCTTGTGGTGCTTTAGCATGTGATCTTCAGTGACGTGTTCAGAATATTTTGACCTGAGGCTGTGTTGCATTCTCAATTATTCAAAACTTCAAAATGTATTTAACCAAATAATGGTGGTTAACAAATTAAACTTTTGAGGAGACATGCGATACGGAGACATTTCTTCGACGTGTTTTCCAGGATACACACCTCAATCCCATTGAGCAGAGGTCTGTACTCAGGGCAGATGAATGCACTCCCGGCATAAGCAGCATCCACGTGCATCCACATATTTTCTTCATTACCTAACACAAATGATAAAAATACAATTGGTGTGTGTGTATTTTTTTCCCTTTAGTGGCTTTACTTTTTGTCTTCATAACTGGGGACTTACAAATCGGTCCAAGTTCCATGAGGTTATCGAAAGAACAGCAGGATGTTGTACCAAGAGTAGCACACAACTGAAACATACATCACACACAGTTGGGTCTTCATTTTTTGGGGGGACTTTACATTGACTTGCATTCATTTCCTGGAGACTGAGCCTAAACTTAACCTTAACTACTTCCCAAAGCAAAGTTACCATTTCCTTTCAACCCAATCTAAACATTTTTGAACGAATATTTTAACTTTCAGTTTTGCCATTGATCTAATTTGCATCATAGGGACTAGGTCTGTCACGATAAATATTATATCAACTTATCATTCTTTATGATAGATGGAACAATATACTGTATTGTGGGGCTCAATATTTATTGTGTGTATATTTTCTTTGTAAAAGTGGGAGATCTGGGGTATTGTTGTTGAAATACAATTACATTTGTAAAAAGTTGAATAAGTGACTTCTATGGCTAATTATTGACCAGTAACATTACATGCAGCATGCAGTTCATGCCTTTTAATTATACTGTCCATTTGGTTTCCTGGGATTATCTTTCATTACTGTATCAGTGGTATAAAGTAGTTTCAGTATTATTGTTTATTGCAGTACATCTCTGTAGCAATATATCAAAATTTGTTATTGTGATAAGCATCTCGGTGTCCCCAAGATGTGAGTATATACAGATTTTAGTCCCCACACTGGTCCTGTATTACACAAAATTGACTTGTGAACATTTAGGCATGTTAGAATGTAGTTACCTCATCAGAAATATAAGCAGGGCTGTGTTTTGTTTCATTCACACATCCTAGAGTATCCCTTTAGTATTACTCTGTTTACATCTCAAAATGTTTTGTTGCACCTGATGTCCTTTAGCTGTTAACACCTTTTATGTTTGGTTTAGCAGAGACAGGCAATTCCACAACTGAAATTATCCAAATGAGTTTAGTGATGGTGTATGAAAACACAGTGGAGCACTTCCTGCATTAACGCATGACATCAAGGTGGAGTGTTTTCTGTTTGATAACTAAACTCAGCCTAAATATGCAGGGTTTGTGTGTTAAACATGTGTGAATGAAACAAAACACAAATCCAGGTTGTGATGAGGAAACAACATAACATAGAAAATAAATAATAATAATAATAATGAATAACAAAAATAATGTAATATTGGCCTTTTAATATGAGATATGCCAAGACAAGGTAAACTAGTGTCTTTCTGCTTTCTTACATAGAAAGGGATGAGCCCGGCTGCCTTGTCTTCTTCGATCATCTTCTTGAGTAGCATGCCGCTCAGAGAATAGTTGTTGTCTGTGGGGACCTTCTTCATGATGACGCCACCAATGAGACCAGCTCTCTCCACGGACGAATGAGCCTGGCAGGAGGTACACATTTGTAAAACAAAACAAAAAAAAACAGAAAACACTACAAAGTTGACGTACATATATGAAAAATATTGATGTAATGTCTTGACACCAGCAGTAGAATAACAGAAGCTGGTGTTGTTCAAAGGTCTGTGTGGCCCTGAGGCAACTCACTAACCCAATCACAAAGGCAGTCTGCGATTCAACCTGATAAGAGCCAGCTCACAAATAACACCATGTACAGACTTGAATTTATGGTATTTAGCTGCTTCTTGTTGTGTTTCCTTGGGTGTCAGTCATTGTGTCCTTAGGCGTCAGTCTGCCCCAGAGCAGCTGTGGCTTCAACAGTAGCTTACCAAAACTGAGTGAGTGAATGAATAAAGTATCTTTGAGTGTCCAGAAAAGTGCTATATAAAACTGATGCATTATTATTATTATTATTAAAAAACCTTGATTATTGTGAGCTTTAAGCCATGATATAATGTTGTTACTTCTTCAAAAACATGCCTCTATTTGTGTTTCCATTCACACATATTTGAGTAATCCTAGTTTATTAATGTGTCTACAAAGCTCAAAATGCACTGTTCAACTTTATGATGCTTTGTAGTGGTAGTTTAAGATAAGAGCCACCTTTTACCTTTACTTCAGTGTATAGATTAGCAATTTGCAGATTGAAAGGGCTGAAATTATCCAAATGATTTTAGTGAAGGTGTATGGACATTGATAACTCAGTAGAGAACTTCCTGTATTATTACATGACATCACAAGAACTTTAGCAAGGCTAAATATGCAGGATTTGTGTGATAAACATGTGTGAATGAGACAAAACACACTTCCAGGTATGTTTTTGATGAGGAAAGAACATTATAACATAAATCGGAATATAGTGTAATGTGGACCCTTTAAATGACATTGCCTGCTTGTTTCCATGGAGAGGTTATTGCTGTACCTGGAATGTTTCATAGTATGACATTAAACATATCTATTTCCATGGAAACAAGCAGGTGACGCTACTAATCTTTAATCACTTGTTCTTTGTTACAGATGAGAAGTGTGCCCTCACCCCAGGCATAATGACCCTGGGCCAAGTTACAGGTCAAATCTCTGAAGCGGGGACCCCACTTCCAGAAAAAAATGCATATGTTTTAAGGCATCTTTTTTAGCAATAAATACACCTGTCATTGGTTAAATTGAAGATGGTTACAGTTAATGCCATAATGAGGAACATTCTTGTCAAAGCAATAACATTTCATGGTAACAGACAAATAATAGAAATTTACACAACATCTGCCACGTGACTATGGATGAAAAGGAGCTTTCTGAGTCTGGCATATTTAAAGAAATATTCATTTGTATGAACTGTCCCTGAAAAAAATGTAATACAACTAGAAAAATCATGTAGTATGTTAAATATCTAAACCTTAAGAAATATAATATAATGACTCAAAACAAGCTATAAATAAGCCACTGATTTATGACAAATCAAACAAACAAGAAAGCACTTTTTAGTCATAAAATACTGCATGCACATTCAAAGATTCTGATATTTTGGCATACATCTGTCAGTTGATAGACCTTAGATAGTTAGCAAATTTATTGGTCTCTCAGAGGAAATGTATTTGGAACATGGGGAGCTGCTCAAAACTTCACCCACATACAAGCATCTCACAATATCAAAACACCAGACAATACCACAGTCACAGTGAAACAAATTTGCACTTACTTGTTCAGATGTGTAAGCCACTAGTTTGGAGCAGATTTCAGATTCCAACAGGCCGTGGTTGGTAGCCTGGGCTTGTCTGATGGCTTTACACCTGGCTGCGAGTAATGCCACTAGTGTGGCCTCGCTCGCAGTGGACTGTGGGACAACATCAAAACAGAAACAAAATGTTATCAAAGTATTAGCATGTTTATGGCAGGAGCTTCACTGCATGCATTTTCATTTAAAAGCAAAATCAGCTGTCCATTGTGTTTATAATTCTGGTTATTGTAATACTGTTAGTAATGTAAAAAGCTGTGACCTCAGAGTGAGTCTTTTTACATCGTGGCAATAGCTTGTGCCTTCATAATAAAGTAAAATTATTATTGAGGGTGTCTGTTGGGCAAAAGTCAATGCAAATTTCAATATAGATTTCTTTCCAGACACAATCCAATTTCACTTTGTGACAAAATGCCAACAGAATAAATTATAGCATTTAAGACCTCAAATTTTTTAATCAATAATGAGATAAGTGGTTGTCACATAATACTCAATCCAAGTCAGTTTCAAAGCACAAGCAAGGGAGATTTGTGAATGTGCACACCTTCCCAAGCACACTTCCTGTCTGACTAAGACAAAGGCCTCATAAAACAACCAAAGGCGTTACAGTAGTGTGTCTGCTACATAATTACAAGAGTGTGAATAAAGTAGAATAGTAGCAACAATGACTCTTTGAATTCAAGGTCATCACAAAATAATATGATCTAAGCCTTTTAAACTATTTTTAAAAGAATATTTGTCATGCTTTATCACTTATTAAAAACAGCAAGACAAATTAACATTTTGTTTATGGTCAGTGGTGGTCCTGGTTTACAAACAGAACCAGTATTTCATGTAATGACTATTAACCTGTACCCTAACCCCTAAAATTATAAATCATAAATCATATAATACTGGAGCTGCAGCGCTTTTACAAAAATTAACACGGCAGTGTCACATTGTTTTGTTACTTATTAGAAAAGTAAAAATGTAAGGCATTATGGTGTTTACTACTAATATTTTCTTGTAAGGTACATTATCATATATACAAATATCTCCATGAAGTGTGTAGGCTATGTATTCTTAATGTAATTTAATTGCTGAATCATGTCTACATTTCTAATATTATATGAGTTACATTAAGTTGCTGTAATATTTCTGTGGAGTCATTAAAAAGGGCTTGTTTTCATCCCCATTGTCTACATATAAGCATTAATACTCTGGGCTAGACAATGTGCTGTCTTAACTCTCATTAGCCTGCGCCGCTCTGAGTAGCTCTATCCGTTGCCATAGTGAGCTGCTGTAAGCTGCTCTCCAAAAGCCTAGTCACCAAAAGGGAAACAAAAACACATGCCAAACCCACCACTCACAATAAAGAAGGCATGAAATGATCTGTCATCTCCACGCACTCACTTCCTCTCCCATTCAACCTCCGCCTGGGCGCACACCACACAGCCGTATTGGCCTGGTATGGAACACTAAACTAATGCTTAGGTCTTGGGTACACGAACACAATCACAGAGCTGTCATGGCCATCCCCTTCTGTTTGTGGATGACACATTAAAAGGCAATTTCCTGTCAATTTTCTGCCAGTATGAACAAGAGAGCACAAATCAATAGCAAAGGAAAATAGTGACTGAATGTTTGAACACCTCTGAGGTTACGACTTGGCCTTTAATTTATTGGAAAGTTTGGTATAGCTGCTACTTTAAAGGGTGATCTTTATGTCTTTATGATGGTAGGAAGAACACATTTCCATATAAATCTATGAATGCAATTTTATTATATAAAATAATACAATGACCGACAATGTTATCGTTTCCAGGTAAGAGAGCGAACTGAAAATGAATAAATACATGATTTTTGTCTGTAATGTCCTGCCTTATTGCTATTAATGCAGACCAGATTGTTAAAAGAGTCACCATTTTATTTATTTATTTTGTTGAGCTGTTTAAAAGAATCTTTAAACTTTATTTTTACTACTAACCTGTATAACACCTCCTCCAAGGCCATGAGTTCCAGCTAAGAAACAGTCAGGCAGCTTCAGCATCTTTCCAAGCCAGTCCAGCATCACTGTCTCCAGCTCAGTACAGGCTGGACTAGCAGGCTAAAACACACAGTATATCGGTCATGAACTGGTCATGTGAAAAACAATGGGGCATAATAAAAGGACTAAAAAGTTACCCAGGTGAATCCAACGCATCCAATGGCTCCACTCAGCATGTCGGCCAATAAAGAGGGGTAAGAATTGCCTGTAGGGAAGTAGGCATAGAAATATGGACTGTGCCAGTGTGTCACCTGGAAAGATAAAAATAAGACAATGGGTCTTATTACAAAATTCAAAATATAGGGATCTTTTCCTTGTAAGCTACATGATCAAATATCTCCATCAAATGTGTATATGTAAATAGATATTACTGCTTTTAATCTGTGCAGAATAAACAACCACAGTGTCAGTAGAAGTAGAATATTAATGAATTGTAATTGTCTTAAAGTGATGAATTATCCATTTGGTCACAGTATGGTGTGTTCAGTTTCCACACTCACAGACAACAATCATAAATGAAAGATGAATGACTTGCTTAAGGACACAAAGTCAGTAAGAATTGCCAAGAGCTGGTTTCAAATGACCAAGCATCTAGTTATTAAATCGCTAATGTACCACCAGTCCTGATACCAAATTTGTAATAACTTATGCTTTGTTACAGATGAGCAGTGTGCCCTCACCCCAGGCATAATGACCCTGTCCACATCCTTCAGCAGGTCATCGAAAGACTCTGGATCCTCTGGTGCCTCGGTGGGAATGAGATGCCTCAGATAACCAGGCTCCACATCTGGATAGACTGGCCGCTGCTCGATGTTCTCCAGGTAATCAGCCACATAATCGACCATCTCCTTCCCTTTACGGCGAAACTCTTCTGCGTTCATATCAGCTCTACAAAACCAGGTCAGCTGAGTGACATGAACATTATGGCGGGCTACAGTTACAATAAGGACACACAACTGATCTTTGCTCCATGCTATAACTGTTGTTTATAGTTGCAAAACATTTGAATGGTGGTGGAGATGCATTAAGAAAATGAAGCAGGCAAACACAACCATACAGCAATTTAAAATACACTTAGCAAATATCATAAATTCTAGGTCTAATAAACCAGAACTGAGCTAGGATAATTCCAGTATTAAATTAGCTCTAAACCAATATTAGATCAGGAACAAAGCAGAACTAAATACACATAAATACACAAAAGACATAGACATATAGGCTATATTTGAAACAAGCAGAAAAAGCAATGTCACTTGTTGCACTCTTGGCAGATTATTGACCCTTAGCACCTACCAGACATAATCCCAAATGCTATTGTTAATCTTACTATGCCTGGACACATTTCACTGGGGCACCTATAGATTTCCTGGTAGTTACAAAATAAAAACATCTTCAGTGACATATTGAATGAAAGAGCAGTTCTAGACTAGTTTAGTTAGATATATTTCACTCTCACCAAATCTTTAGTACTTAAAAATGGATTATACAATAGATTATACAACTTTTAGATCACCTTATAAAAGGATTTGCAGAGCTCGATTTCTTTTTAGTCACATGATTTTATCTTCTATCTACATTTTCCAACACATTAAACCAGTTGAAAAACTAAAATATTTAGCTTTATTGGCTCAACAGGTTTTATACTCGACACGTCTCTCTACAGTATTAAAAGTTGCATGGGTTGATAGGATTATAGCGGTATGTACTCACAGCTGCAGCTGTAGATGATGCAAAATAAAGCCTGGATCCTGCAGTCTGTCTTCTTCAGCTGGGCCTATGCCGCTGTGTTTGTATGTACAAGCAGGATAGGAGACATTTCCTTTTATCTTACCACTTAGAGCCCCCCTCTCTCTAGCCCCCTCCAGATCGTCCAATCACAGTCCAGCTCTTCGCCCACGTGTAAGACTGATTCATAAACGGTAGTACTGCCTTGACATATATTAATTACAACTGTAACCAGGACATTAGTGGGATTTTCAAAGTCAAATTGGGTAAAATATAACTCAGTAAATGTGGACAGCCCAAGGTTGTATCACAAATGTGATGCTTTGATTAACAGTCTCATTTATTAAGGTATATCTGACTGAGTAATGCATTTGTGTGTTATTTCATTGTTAAGATGATAATGTTAAGATTATTTAGTACACTATGTATTATTAGTACAGCCTTAAAGCAACTCATTAAAAGACAATATGAGAGTATCACTCTTGCTGGTATAAAAACGGAATCCAATCATGGAACCTGTGTTGCCAGTACCTGCATATAGAGGAGACATGCAAGCTTTTCTCATTCCCAGTATATTAACAAAAATACACAATAATAACACACAACAAATGGCTGCAGGAGCTGTCCGTTTATTTCCAACTGGTTTTAGTCATATATGAACTGAGACACAAGACTCTCTCATTGTGAAATTATCTAGAAAACCAAAAACATATGACTTGATTGTCATTGTATTTAAGAGTAAATAGACATTACAGTTGTCATCAGTAAAATCAATATTTGAACATATCTTGCACCTAAGGCTCAGAATGGTGATGTTTATAAACTTTTAAATAGACATTCTACATAACTACATCCGAACTTAAAGGTTGTATGGAGGATTTTTTTGTTTTGTTTCAAATTGTCAATGATAGATTATAGAGATGCAGTAGCCTTGTAATTATGATGACCAAAAAAAAAAAAAAAAAGAGAATAAAAATTCATCAACTCTGGACGTGGTGGGGCCAGCTAAACATTTGCCAATAGATAACGACACTGCCTCGTTATCTGTTAGTTGTCAATCAATCTCAATCAAACTCCCTACATTTCTAGCGTAACTGACAGACCCTCTTGTGCCTGCGCGCTGCCATTACGTGGTCACGCAGTCCACAGACGCAAGACGCACAGACGCTGTTTACTCCACCAACGCAACAGTTCTTAGCGGCTTTTTTGACCTATATCTTCCTCGCAGTTAGCACAAAGTTTGTTGCAATGGCAGACAAGAATCCAGGAGCAGTTAGCCGCAAAAGAAAATCCATATTTGAGGTCGCTGAAACATTTAGCAACATTTGAAAAAGGACAAACAATCGCTGGATTTCTCGTTCCTTGGAAAATCCTCTATACAACCCTTAAAGTGTATTATTATGTTTCGCGTGTCGGACTATGTGGATTATGATTATTCCCTCATTTTATGAAAACGCTGTCACTTTAATTAATTTAATTTTTTTTTTTATTGCACTTCATTTTATGTTATGATTTCTCTTCTGTTACAACCTTAGGGACGTTAATGCCCATTAAATCAAGTATTTGTTCAATATTGGCCTCACCACAACACCAACTACCATACTCATAGGATACGGTCGCGGTAAGGTATTGCAGTAATACCAATGACTGAAATTGTCATTTAAACCACCAAAGTGTCCGAACACAATGAAAAGTGTGGTCTACTTTTTCCGCTACCGAGGTCTGAGTCTCACCGTCCCAGGAAAAGGGGCGTGTCACACGTATCGCTGGGCAACTTCCTCGGAAAACCGATACGGAAGGATAATCGAACACATGGTGTGTCTTTTCCAAAACTTGATACAGGCCAAAATGCTAAGCTAATGCAGCGAGTTATAAAAGGCAATGCTAATATCGTTATATCACCCACAATAAAGTTAACAAAAAGATTTTTACCACTGTTACAGACTGATGTTAACGTATAAACAAAATAAATTGTCATCATAAAACAAGAACAAAAAAATTGGCAAAAGCGCAGGCAGACGGGCAATCCATGCCAAACATAAGGTCAGAGCTGCTGCTAGAAGACAGGGCTATCAAAATTATCTTTTTAAATAATAAATATTCTTTGAAGCAACAAAGTAAATTTTTTTTTTATATCTTTGCAAAGAGAGGCAGAGGACAAGTCTGTTCAATACAGGATTGTAACTCAGTTTGAACCAGCGTCAGAGTCACAAAATATATATAGTAGTGTCAAGTATTACCAAAAGAGAGGAAACATCAGCATTTCTGCTGGGTCGTGATGCTCCAAAACATATGCAAGGACAGTTGCTCCCTAAAAAAACGGAGAGCAGCTCTCTTCAAAACAGGATATAAAACAGACATAATGAAAACTGTAAATAACTGTACATAGACGCAATAATGTATTCAGCCATTACAACAGTGATGATAAAGGTAATACAGTATCAGTCTGGAACCCTGTAGTGGAGCAATATCTCCAGTTACAACACATTACAGTTAACAGAAGGACACTTACTGTCTAAACAGATACATTTTGTTCACATTCCCTGTAAGAAGATAACATCCAGTCCTATTGAAACTAATTTGAAACTTGCTGTGCCCAATGTCAGATCTTTATGTAACAAATTATTTCTAATTAATGATTTTATTGCTTTTAATCTTGACTTTATGTTTTTAACTGAAACATGGCTTGATAAAAACACAGGTAATGCAGTGCTAGTGGAATCAACTCCCAATTTCAAATTTGAATATGAAACGGGCAGTGTGTGTGCATTTTTTAGAGATCATCTGGTTACACACAGGTTGTCATTTTGGGTGTTTCCATCATTTGAGTATGTTTCCTTCAAAATGGAGCTAAAACACTCACCTTTCATCCTCTATATAGTCATATACAAACCTTGTCAGCACTGTCAATGTTTTATTGATGATTTTACTGAGATACTTTCAGTCGTATGCACAGACTTTGAGGGTTTAGTCATTACAGGCAATTTTAATGTACATGTGGATAATGTGCATGACAAAAATGCCAAAATGTTCAGTGCTGTCTTTGAAACTTTTGGTCTAACTCAGCATGCCAGTGAGCCCACTCACAACAGAGGGCAAACTCTGGACCTGCTCATTAAAAAGGGTGTAAATACTTCAAATGTCAATGTTGATGTTGCTCTCTCTGATCATTTCTGTGTCTTCTCTAACCTGTCTGTTATTCCCAAACCACGACTGGTCCTACAGTTGTTCGAAGGAGACATATAAATGATAACGCAGGTGCACTGTTCATGGAAATGATAAACTTTCAAATTGTTTCATGTTCTAATGTTGATCATGTGTTGAACTCTGTGACTTTGAGTGTTTTGAATGTTATGGGTGTCATTGCCCCAATGAAGGTTAAAATAGTTAAAGATAGGCAAAAAGCTCCATGCAGGAATGATGAACAGAGAAAAGATGCATATGTACAACCACAGTTTGGGTAGAACAAGAGACAGGTACTTTTTGGACATTATTGGAAACTGCAATAACTACTCTTGTGTCCTGTTTGCAACAGTGGACAGATTAACAAACCCTCCAACTCCACTGCCGTTAGAACTAATTTCCACATCTAAGGGTATTGAGGTTGCCACATTCATTAATGACAAGGTTCAGGGCATTAAAAATGCCATCAGTGCCACAATGCAAATAACAAGCATGCATACAAAGAGACACTTAGAGCTGAGTCACTTTACACCTGTAACAGACAAAACTGTTTTAGAGATTATCACCAGATTGAGTTCATCCACATGCTGCCTCGACACATTACCCACTAGATTTCGAGAGTCCATCCTCAACAGTTTGCTTTCACCATTCACATAGTTAACATGTCACTTCAATCTGGAACATTTCCAAGGGTTTTAAAAACAGCGGTCATTAAGCCTCCCCTAAAGAAGAGCAGTCTTGATGCCACAGTACTGAATAATTTCTGACCCACCTCAAACCTGCTGTTTTTTGGCAAAGTCCTTGAAAAAGCTGTTAACAGCTCACTAACTAACTAACTTTCTACAAATGAATGACTTCTTTGATGTTTTCCAGTCAGGTTTTAGAGCCCACCACAGCACTCTTATCAAGGTGACAAATGACATCCCAGTGTTGTGCATGAACGAGTTCAAAAGAACGCGTTCATTGAACACGTTCATTTTTCAGTGAACTTTGAACTGAACGCAACACTTTTGTAAATCAAGAACTTGAACGTGAATTTGTTCAAATTATGTGTGATGAACGACGTACGTCACTGTTGGGGTTCGTCGGAATTTGTTTGCACCTGACGAGTGACGATCTGCTCGCACTTCACCTCGCGAAACCGGCAGCTTTAGCGGAACGTACGGGCTCTTGTGTCTCTCAATGGGAAGTCAATCAAACTTGACTGGGCGCGTTTAGCTGCTTGTATTTACCTTCTGTACAGGCTGACCACGGCAAACGCAAGGATTTCAAAAGTAAATTTCAAAGCACTAATTAACAGTCTGTGTGGATCTGGGCTCTTTCACATGATACACAACTGCCCAGGGAGCACAATGTGCTGATGGTAAATGCACAAATACAACAATAGATACGTACTCTCTGTGTATTTTGACGGGGATACGCGCCTACGCTCGTGTAGAGCGTCAAAAAATTGAATGGATCCTATTTTCTGAAATCTACACGCACAGGACGTGCTGCTCCGCGCGCTTATTATTTTACTTGGTACATATGTCAGTAACGCGCGTCACAATGCTTTTTTAACCTGGATTGAAATGGTGGGTTTTTCGTTTTTCTTCATACATATTTGCTAAAATCACCGCGATATCAGCAGCGGTGAAACGCCGGAGGTGCGCCCGCGTAGACCGTGATCCTGAGCGAAAGGACCGACGCAGAAGTCCGCGCTCCACCGAACTAAACGCAGCTGACGCCCGATCGCACTCGGGGTTCTCTCAGGGGCGGTCCTAGATTCCAAGTTCTCGTCCAGGATTAGTCCTGGTTTGGTCCTGGTTTAGTCTTGGTTTAGACCTGGTTTAGTCCTGGTTCAGTCCTGGTTCAATCCTGGTTCAGTCCTGGTTCAGTTCTGGTTT